GAGACGAGAGACGAGAGAGAGAGAGAGAGAGAGAGAGAGAGGCCCCCTCCTTGGGTTGGTTTGGACTTCGTTGGAGGGAGAGCTGCACAGGGATATCATGCAAGGCTATTGCACACCCCCCCCTACTTAGCCCCTTCCACTGACACCCTTTGATTCGTCGAATCCCAATTAAATCACAGCGCTCGATCCCTCCCCCTTATAAGCCGAGGACAAGAGGAGTCCACTGCGCACAACAAGCTCATCCGCGTCTTGCGCTTCTGTTCTTTCCCCTCCTGCCTCTCTTCGGAGGAGGCCCGGCTTTGTTTGCTAGCCCTGTTGAACCTGCTACTGGTGATGCTTCTGTTCTCTTTACTGGTTTCATGAAAGCAACATACAGCTCCTACATGTTTGTTCTCTGGAGCTTTCTTGATAGTAGTAGTAATAGTAGTAATGGCTTTAATGTTTTCCCTGTTTTATCTTGTGGCTTCCTGCGACCATCTTATGTTTCTGCTCATCTTCCTCTACTCTTTTCGTTCGGATTCCAGCTCTCTGGTTCTGCGTTGTCCGGGGATCAATGGAGAACTACGGCCGCCACTTCGACAACAACGAAGCCCAGCTCCCGCCAGGCTTTCGTTTCCATCCCACCGACGAGGAGCTCATCACGTACTATCTCCTCAAGAAGGTCCTCGACAGCAGCTTCACCGGCCGGGCCATCGCCGAGATCGACTTGAACAAGTGCGAACCTTGGGAGCTTCCAGGTTGCTGGCACTCGTGTCACGTTCCCCTAAGAGTGTTGTTGTTCTCCGTTCCTCCGCCTCTTAAGTGTTGGTTCCACTTGATTCGATGCAGACAAGGCTAAGATGGGGGAGAAGGAATGGTACTTCTTCAGCCTTCGGGACCGCAAGTACCCCACCGGGCTGCGAACCAACAGGGCGACGGATGCCGGCTACTGGAAGGCAACTGGGAAGGACAGGGAGATCTACAGCTCAAAGACTATGTCGCTGGTGGGGATGAAGAAGACGTTGGTGTTCTACAAGGGCAGGGCTCCCAAGGGGGAGAAGAGCAACTGGGTGATGCATGAGTATAGGCTGGAAGGGAAGTTTGCCTACCACTTCCTATCGAGGTCCTCCAAGGTAGCTCAACTACTCCATGCACGTACTTGTCATCTTATGCTCAAACCTGCTCTTATTGTTGTTCGAATGAAGAGTTCATTTGACATGATCACATGATTCGATCGAGATCAAAGTCATGTGAAACTTCTTCGGTCGGAACAGATTTGCATTTGCTTTGTGTCACGTCTCCTCCTGTAGACATGTCAAGTGGGATAATGATACCGAGTGTGTAACCATGCACGTAGGACGAGTGGGTGGTGTCCCGGGTCTTCCAGAAGTGCGGCGGAGGCGGCGGCGGCGGAAGCGGCAAGAAGACTCGTCTCGCCCTCGCCGGATCCCACTTCTCGAACTCCGGCAACACCGGCGGCGGCGGAGGGTGTGGTTCAACGTCCTCTTCCACCCTCCCGCCGCTCCTCGAGCCGACCCCGCTGCCATTCTCGGCAGGTCTTAAGGCCCCCGACCGAGAGAGCTGCTCCTACGACAGCACGGATAGGGAGCCCGTGCCCTGCTTCTCCACTGCCGCCGCTGCCGCCACCGGCCTCGGCCTCCACATTCCGCCGCCACCACAAGGCCCAGCCATCTTCGGTCCAACCGGCGCCTTCCCGTGCCTACGTTCGCTCCACGAGAATCTCCAGCTGCCGTTCTTCCTGTCCGGAATGGCTGCGCAGCCGGTGTACGCCGGTCCGTCGCCGGCGGTAGTTGTCGACGCAGGGATCGGCACTCGGAGCGAGGGGGCAGGCTGGCCGTCTGATCTGGATCGTAAGGCCGAGGCTGCAGCTGCTGTGGTAAGGGCCCATCCCATGCCCGTGGGTTCCACGGAGCTCGACTGCCTCTGGACTTTCTAGACCGACCTCTTCGGTCTCACTGTGACCACTGCTACTATATATGACGTCGTACGTACTCTTGGTGTTGCTGTCTTCTATCTTAAACTTCGTGTAATATGGAATTGAACTCCGAGAGCTGTGTGGGTGGATGGATGGATTTGTGCGAACGCCACGCAAACCTGCGAGGGCGGCGGGTGGGTCCCATGGGAAGCGACCCTCGCAGGCGCTCACGTGGTACACGTGGCTTCGGTTGACGCGGAGGGAGATAGATAGAGAGGAGGAATGCGTGTGAGTTACGTCTTGTCGCCTGCACAACGGCCTGTTACACTCAACCGCGTAATAGTTGCCGGGCACCGTGCAACTTTCTCTCCCTCTTCCCCGACTCAATTTTCCCGTCTCTCTCTCTCTCTCTATATATATATATCGATGTATAAAGTTCGGCCCGCTCAAATATATGTAGTGTTCAACTTGCTCTAACCAGATCGAAGCGCATTTCGGCGAATGAGAGGCGGCTCTACCGCCAGATACTGGCTTCGACTCCTCCGGATGATCTCCATGCCATTTCTACGTTGTAGGATGGATCTCCCTCTGTCAGTCATCCTCCTCGTCGTGTATCTCCATGACACCGTATCAAAACCATGGGAAGAAAATCGAACTGCAAGCAGACAACTACGCACCGGACACCACTATGTACTACTAACACAACAAAACGAACATAAACGGAACATGAGCGACACCGTTACATCAGTAGACTTCCTCATTTCCAGTAGTAACAAGTAGTCATTGCAGAATCTAATTGAGAGCTTGTATGTCAAGTTACAGATTTGGGAGATAGGGATAAAACGGATTTTCCCAATTATTGGATAAATATTATGGGTAAGTACCCATGCATCTATACTGTTTTCAGTGGGTTCACCTACAAAATTTATATTTTTACTCCCGGCAAAAGAATGTGTAAATAAATGTCACATGCAGCTCTTGATGCGAACCCAGGCAGGCATCATCGATGGATTCTACTCGTGGTAGAAAACTGGTGACATGTATCTTGCGCAAAGCAAAAACAGTCTCTATTCCGAAGCCTTGTTGGCACCGTGTGCATTTATGAGTTGCTTCTGTACATCTTGGGAAACAGGTGAGTGCTCCATGTATTCCATAGTGAATTCGCCTTTACCCTATCGGACAATGATGTGTAATACAATCATAAGCATTGCCAACTCCTGACGGTATTCTTCAGAAATAATGCAGGAAAACGAATGCTTACCTGTGTCATGGAGCGAAGGGCTGTAGAATATCCGAACATATTGTTTAGAGGGACCTTCAAAGAAAAAGGTTCTTTCATCAGCCATGACTAGTGATGTTCATACAAGTGGTAGAAAGAATAGTACTGTTAGAAACAAGTCCCACAAAGAAGATACGATATAAGAGCTAGGCTTCTAAAAGATCTTTATAATGGCCGAAAATACCCGGCAGGATAACCTTAAGGAAAAACTCAAATGAATCTTAGCCAAAGCTTAATAAGATTTTTTAATCTAGAAACCATGTTAAAGAAAGATAATGACATCCACTGAAGCCATTATAGCATCGCAAATCTTCTAACTACATAAAATTTCAAGGTGACAATGTGAGCTAACATGGCAAACTCAGGCCACAGAGAACATGCATAATATATCAAGATTCTTGGCATTCAGGTTGTGGAAAGTGCCTTAAAGAGCCCCAGACTAATCCAGATTCAACCAAGGACACCTCTTCCGATCACATACTGAATCTGACCAGAACACTAAAGCCTCTTTATACTTTCAAAATCGTCTCAAATAATCTTAAAAGCATACCCCCAAACAAACTCACATATTAAGGAGACAGTTAAATAAGCCAAAAAACCCAACAAGATAATCCAGGGCTCAATATGTTTCAGGATGCATCATGTTTAATTTTTACATGCTAGCAGATAATTTAGTTGAGAAATAGATAGAGTTTACATACATGAGCAACAACCACAGTATCATCACCATCCTGATCATTACCAACAATGATACCTTTCCTCCTGTCATTCATACGAAGTTATGGTCCACAAACTATTCATAAAGGTTCAGATATACAATAACCAATTAGATCACACTGGATGATGGAATACTCACTTGTTAATATCACCAGTTACAGTGCCCTGGAATTCTGTTGGCACTTTCAATTCCACTTTCATCACAGGTTCTAAAATGACAGGGTTTGCTGCAGAATAACACTATTCAAGAAATATAAAGTCAGATATCCAGTATCATTTTTCCCATAAAGAAAACGGCATGACTATCTCAAGTTCTTCATTACAGCAAACTATAACATTTTGGATTTTGTGAAATTTAGAAGGGGAGAGGGCGCAACAGCAAGAATAATCAACCTTTCTAAATGCATAGATCGCTGCTAGCTTAAATGCAAGCTCACTGGAATCAACAGCATGCGAGGCTCCATCTGTCAGTACTATTCGAACATTTTCAACAGGATGCCCGATCAATGAACCCCTGGGCAATAATATATTCATGATTAACATATCATTCTGAAGAAATTAACAGAAAAGAAAATCAAGTGTTACCCACGAGTTGCTAGCTTCTGTGAACCCTTTCTCAATAGCAGGGATGAAGTTTGAAGGTATTGCTTGCCCAATGATATGATTGTCAAATTCAAACTTCGTAGAAGAACCCAATGGTAGAGGTTCAATATATCTGATCGAAGTAAAAAAAAAAAGATGGAGAGATTAAGAAAGCAGTTGCAGCTACTGATCAGATGAAAGCCATAAATGATATTTTACATGTCAACTGATATACAAAAACAGGAATCAGAGGTCAAGATACTGTATTAAGATAAATTTCGGCACGGAGGTATTTTTTTCCAAATATTATCAATCACATTAGTCACCAACATTTCAGTAGGTCTTGGTGATTAGCCAAAGAAACTGAAAAACTGAACCAGAATGGACCTATTAGGCTCTTTTCTTTTTTCAGGACCATAAATGTAACATAAAAAGACCTTGTGAAAACTAAGAATACCAACTTGTACCCCATTAATGTAACAAAAAAAGACCTTGTGAAAATCTAAACCAAAGGGCCTCATGGCCCATCCACTTCTATCCTTGGTTTCCATGATGTCTGACCCAATAATACCACATGGATCATCATTTCCACAACATGTGAAAACTAAGAAACCAAAGATGTTTCCCTCAAAATATTTCATGCAAGTTCTACCAACTTGTAACTCATCAATTTTCTTAGCCTCGGAAGATGAAAAACAATCTCCTATATTTCAAAACTCTTATTACCTTTTCTTATTATTAGGTTTCTCAAATAATTATGATGGCAAACCTCCGAATGCAAGTCATCAATCTTAAGGCTTGAATCTTAAACTCACATGGGGAAACAGATCAAGTAGCATTACAACCTCTCCTTGACAACAAGCACCCTCCAATCTGGTTATAGCCACACGATCTGATGGCTGTGATTACTTACCCTCCAACCTCGGTCTTCATGGCTTCAAGTTCAGTAGACTTTGTTATTTATAAATTGAGCTCTGAACCAGATTATTACTTTTTATTATTAAACTTCACATAATTGAGCTAGTGTGCTCTCTCGAATTGTCACACAACATTCCTCCTTCTGTTCATCCACTGAAAAACAAAATTGAACCAAAATACTCTTTTGAAAAAAATATAATCTAAGAACCAGATAACAGAGTGAAAGTAAAATGGAACCAATATGAATTGAACTTAACTAAAAACCTGCTCTGGTTTGAAATTTTGGGTTCCACAATTCACAGCAGGCATAGTAAATAAAAAATGAAAACAAAACCGTAACATAGTAAATCATAATTAACTAAAATGGGGTCCTTTAGTTTCTAATGAGGCATCCAGTGAGACAACTACGAACTTGCAGACGAATGTCTCTTAGGTCCATCCATGACTTGACATTTATGTTGCAACTAATCATTTTGAAGTGTTAGAATAAACTTTTAATAGGATAGGTAACACATGATTCATGAAGATAGAGGAATACTTGTTTTCATATATGCATCTACAATTTCAAAAATTAAGAAAAAGAAAATAATTAATAACAAATGTCTCTTAGGTCCATCATGACTCGACAATTATGTAGCTTTTGATAGGATAAGTATCACATGATTCATGTATCTAGGATTACTTGTTTTCATATATGCATCAAAAATGTCAAAAATTAAGAAAAAGAAAAATTAATATTAACATATCATATTTATGCTTACCCACAAACACGTCCATATTGACCTTGACCTCCACTTTGCTTCTTATGAAGATAATCAAACTCAGCACGTTGTGTAATTGTCTCCCTAAAATTAACCCGAGGCTTTCCAACTTTTGCATCGACCTTCATATTCACATACAAGCAAAACTTAGTTAAGAAATTTTGTTACAAGAAAATACAAGCATTTAAAATACTGAAAAAAGTTTATATTCACTGGTCAACAAAGAATATTAAGGTGATCTTTATCACAACACTTGAAAGTTAATTGGAGTGTAGTAGAATGATCTACCATGTACATAATAGCACTCAATGTTAGAAAGAAAAACTCACTTTGTACTCTCTTCGTATGCGCTCAACATAAATGTCCAAATGCAACTCTCCCATTCCAGATATAATTGTCTGTAACAAATGATGACAATTTTCTAAATTTGTACCTCTAAAGAAACAACGATATAAAAGTTAAACTGACCTGACCACTTTCAACATCCAATCCAACACGAAACGTTGGATCCTCTTTCTGAAATCGATTTAGAGCTTTTGAAAACTAGAGGAATAGAAACATTAGTATTTTAACTTAAAGAATAATGTAGTTAAACAAAAAACATTCACATAATTACTTGTCCACCAGAATCTTTAGATACAGGTGAAACCGCCAAAGACATCACTGGTTCAGGAACACTCATAGATGTCATTGTATATCTAACTGAACCATCTGTAAAGGTATCACCTGAGGGAAAATGCAAAAACATTATTTCAAGCTCAACAGAAAGCATTAGAAGGTCATTCAAAACATAAAAACAAAGCAATCAAATAAAAAGCTTACCTGATGCACAATCCACACCAAAGACTGCGACAATCTGCCCAGCATGGGCTTCTTGAATATCCTGTAGAACAAAGTGCAAACACTAGCTTTAAGCCTGAAAGCATTGAAGAATCTATTTAGTATGATATACACCAGTACAAGATAAAGTTGCAGTTTTATATATCAGGAATGCAAACATCAGAACCCAAATTTAATCAGCTATATGGACAACATTATAGAATTGAACATGTCAACCAACCTCCATCTCGTCAGAATGCATCCTAACCAAACGTGGAACCTGAATAACAAAAAACCTCAAATTAATGTTTAAATCAGAAAGACAACAACATAGTAGAAGGCAAATATTTGCATAAAAGTCCCAGATGAAGACTTGTCATACTGCCAAGTGCCAACTAGCAGAACTACACCATATGCATATGGGGACAACTACAGATGCATCATAGAGTTCAGGAACTAGACTTACTACTTCAGCCAGAAGGTTTTATTGGACAAGCTTTACTACCTGAAGAATATGACTAACTGCACTACCAATCAAATTCAAGATTGAAACAACATTAGCACACACCATCACACATTTTTGCAGGAACACAAGCAAAAATTTCTCAACCTTCGAAAAACTTGGCAATTAAACTTAAGTCAGTATACAACATCCGTAAAGTAAATTATTAAACGTACATGCAATAACTTTATGCAACTTCTCAGAAGGTCTAGTATTGGTCCATATGATGAAGAGTTTTAATAGCAAAATAAGCACGAATAGCACTACTAGATAGAGTCATTAGTACAAATCATGTTGTTCCCTAGCCAACAAAGAATAGGCATGCATACCAAGAACTGATTACTGAAGGAAGTTTACACTATTATTCTCATACAACAACGTAATTATAGTAATCTTATTTGAAGAAAAATGACCAAGAATAGGAAAAAAGAAACCAGAAAAAGAATATCAAAGAACAAATACTGATAACTGGCTGCATTAAAACCCAAGGAATCAAGTACTGATAACTGGCAACATATAGCAGTAAAAATGATAATCAAATCTCACTTTAATCTTCTTCCCGGTGTTTACATTGATAATAAAGTCACCTTTTCGAATAACACCTTCATAGATTCTGCCAAAACAAGTGAGCTGAATTAGTAAATTTATTTCATTAATTTTCTAGAAGCTATGCTTATAAAAAATACAAATAAAAGTAGCTGAAGTAGAACTGTCTTAAACCAGAAATGAGAATTACCTTAGATATGTCAGCTGACCAAAACGTCCTTCTTCCAGTTTGAAAGCCAAGGCAACAAGTGGCCCTGATGGAGTTCCAGGCAACAAAATCTGTAACATAATCCAGAAGAAAAAGTTACTGCTTCCTTAAAATTAATTGGGAAATAAAAATTACAAATAAAATACAGGAAACTAGTACCTTTTCTTCAGATTTGTTTTGATCGAGGGCATAGTTCTCAACTTCAGTTGGACATGGCAAATAATTGAGAACTCCATCTAAAAGCGGTTGTACGCCCTATATATTGCAATCAAAATGAGTATTACTGATCATCTCAGCTGCATATTGAACAATATGTGATATCTAATGATGAATTCATAAAGACAATATTTGGCAAACAGTGCACATGATGCCAATAGGAGTTAAAAGTAATAATCTAACTGAACTCACCAACGAAAGTTATGACCTACGTTTGTTGTAATTTTAAGGAAGAATAGCTTTAAGAATAACAATTGGAAGGGCTTGACAACATGCTACAAAGTCCAAACTGCAAGTATTTTCAGGTAGCTGAAATTTCAACAAAAGCATCAACGTTCTTTTATCAAGGCAGATAACAAGATTATCAATATTTGATTCACTATGTAGTATTTTCATATGTACCATGAAGATATTTAAAAGAGATAATAAGCTTTAAAAATCCGGCTGAAATATACTTCACGGCCATTCTAGTTAACCCATAAGAACACCAAAGTGCTAGTACTACCAACATAGTAACTTGGTACCAAGACAGTCTATGTAAACAAGGTACAAAGCTAGCACAAACAAGCTCATGTTGGTTGGCAAGGTACATGCCGATCAGGCACATTAAAAACATGAGAGCATGCTGCAGAATGGGAACACTCATAAATTAGGATAATATATTAAAAACTAAAAAATTCAAACTGCTAGAAACATTGACAATTTGAACAACTTACTTTAATTATACTAGCCTTTGCTTTGGGGCAACACAATATCTGAGATGATCTTTATGCTCTCCGGAATTTTTTTGGTTATATCTTATAACATAACATGTGAACTACTTTTGTTGAACCCCTTGACATATATGCATGAAATCTGAAAGCTACTGAAACTAGTTTGATTGAAGTAACAGTAAGTTGAACACTTTGTATTATACATTTTGGTCAAAGTAAAGTTTCCTTGATGTGAAATATATAAATTAACCAACCAGGAAGTAACAAAGCAATTTCAAACATAAGGTTAACTTAACACCCAAAAAAAAGAAAGGAAACAAAAGAACGATAAGCTTAATAGTTAAGTCTTCAAGAACCTTATTCTTGAAAGCACTTCCCATGTAGACTGGAACAAATTTGCGTGCGACTGTTGCTCTGCGAATTGCCATCTGACCAGAGTAACATGATGTAATAAACATTAATGTGACTAAAATAAAATAATAATCAAATATAAATGTAGATTCAGTACCACTACTACTGATAATTATTTTGTCAAAAAGTTATTCATGTACCAATTAAAAAAACAAAGCCATTTCACAAAGTAGGCTTGCATTGCATTCTAGCAGGATAAATAAATCTTCACCAATCCTCATTCTACTAGCTGTATGGGCCATAAAATAACCTTCTAGCACTCAGGTCAAGCCCCATGGTAAAAGTGCTGACCCGATCCATGTCAAGTCATTTGATGTTCACTAACATCTCTGTCGAACCTTATGCTAGTGTCAGCATATTCTATATCAAAGTCAAGTTCAATTGAGAAAAGCAAAATCAGCAGCAAAAAGAGAACATAGTGGATACAAACTCAAACATCAAATCATAAATAGGAATCTAGAAAGCAAGCATTGTTGTAGATGTCAAACAACGTGGGCAGGCCACCATTATCAAGAAGTCCTATTGGGAAGGAATTTTGTATCCTTGACATCTAATTGAGAGAAGTACGAAGCTGAAACTTAATCCACCCATTTCACTACTGCTTTGTGCCCCAAACAAACATAAATGGAGTAAAAAGCGAACAATAGCACAATGCTGTAAGCACATATTCCAGTTGTACCCTGAGGTCAACAGGAGATATTGGTTCATCATTCAGAAAAGCTTCAGCAAGTTGATCATCTACTTCAGAAACAACTTCAATAAGCTCGCGCCGCTTTTCTGTAACCAATGCCTCCAAATTTTGTGGGATATCAGCTGCTGTGACTTTCTCACTGAATAGTCAAAAAGGCATGACAACCATCAATAACATGTATCAAGAAACTTCTATTTAAGACATTTGTAACTGAGAAAGATTGGGATATCAGTGTACCCATTGGCTCCATGGAAGTAATATGCTTTCATTTCTACAAGATCTACAAGCCCCTGAAACTCCTCTTCCAATCCAATTGGAACTTGCACCGCTGCACTATGATGACGAAGCTTAGACCTTGCCTAGAAAGAACTTTTGTATCAGAATTACACTGCTTAAAACTCCAAAAATAGCTTTCTAATATGAACATAACATTGAAACATGATATTTTCCCATATGAATGCAACATTTAAATGTATGATCAGCTTCAAAAAACAATAAGAACCACTGCAAAATCTTTCCTTGCATCCCATAATCAATTTACAACTTAAGTAAAGTTGTTCAAATTCTACCATAAATGAAAATCACTGTCCTTATAATGTCCAATGTTGTATTTAATACAAAAGTAACTCTGTAGAGAATGCATACTAGAGAAGAAGAGGAAAACTTAACAGCCAGTGCATTGGGAAACAGGTACTGAAGAACAATACTCATCATTGGAAAAAATTCATCAATACATTTGATCTGAGATTCACCTGCTCCAGAAACACTTATAATTCATACAAAATATATTAAGATAACCTTTCATAAAGTCATTAATCTACATTTTCAGTTATCTGCGCCCACAGACTAGGTTATCAGTTCCCACCACTAGAAAATTTCATTGATTTATCATACTAAGAAAATGACTATTTTACTTCATAAAACCAAACAATTTACAAACAACAAGTAACACAAAAGAATATGTGAACTGCAGAACTTTCATGATTGTTAATATCACCTTCGGATTGTGGTTGCTTATGGCAACAGAGACCATTCAATGGTACAAGACTAGAGGACAGACCAAAAAAATTGCTTATAGGAGAATAGTATCCTTTGTTAAAAAGAACAAAAAATGGTTTCTTAGAGAAAGAGCCACTGACCATTTAGAGCTCGGGTTTAAATCAGATGTGGCATTACACATTCACGACGAAAGGCTATTTCCATTGTTTTACCTATCACGCCATGTTGTCACGATACGGTCTTACTAAATTGCCAAATAGAGACTCTTTTGCTAATTATTTTTTGAATAATGAATCACAATTGCGATTAAAATGTTATAAAGTTTCACCTGATTAAGAACCTTCCAGGGATCAGCTCCCATTCGATCTAACTTGTTGATGAAAGCAAGTCTTGGAACTTCATATCTTCTCATCTGGCGATCAACCGTGATTGATTGACTTTGTACACCTCCAACACTACAGAGCACCAAAATAGCACCGTCAAGAACACGCAAAGCTCTTTCAACTTCAATGGTGAAATCCACGTGGCCTGGAGTATCAATGATATTAATCTGCATGGAATTTAAAGTGATTTATCAGTTCACTATCCTTTTCAAGTATTTTTTGTATCGTCGTGAATCAAATTGTATAGGAGAGATACAGAGAGAAAGGACAATGGCGGAGTGGGCAATCAAAAATATTTAAAAAAATAATAACAGACCTTCATGACAGTTCATACCAACTTGCTCAAAAGTAAATATTCAACTTGTTCCACCATCAAATTCCACTCGGAGATGCAGATTTTAATCAGAAGAAGGCTACCTGATATCCGTTCCAAGTGCAGTAGGTAGCTGCGGACTGGATGGTGATCCCCTTCTCCCTCTCCAAGTCCATCGAATCCATCTTCGCGCCAACTCCGTCCCTCCCTCGGACCTCATGGATCTCGTGGATCCTTCCCGTGTAAAAGAGCACCCGCTCGGTGAGGGTGGTCTTCCCCGAGTCGATGTGGGCGGAGATCCCGATGTTCCGCACCCTATCCATTGCCTCCTTCCACCATGGCTCCTTTTCCTCATTGGCCCGCGCCGCGGTCGACATCCCCCGCCAGCCGCTGCCCAGCGCGGCGCCATTGAGGACGAGGACGGTGAGCGGGCAGAACCTGTTGCTCTCCGAGCGGCGGAGGGAGGAGAGGAGGCGGGTGGCGGAGGATCTCGCCATCGTAGACGGCGGCGGATTTGGTGCGCCTAAACCCTAATCGACTCTAAACCACCGCCAACTCTTTCAACGTTGCGTCCGTCTTTGTTCAACCATGGGATGTGGTTACGTTTCTCCGCAGGAGCTTCTAAATCCTAAACTATGTCAGGGTCTTGTATGCATATATGCTACTTAGAATTGTGGTATCTCTATGTATACCCCTCACGTATAATACATGTATGTATATTTTTTTTATTAATTATAAAAATGACATTATCCTTATTTTTGTTCTTAATATAATTGTTTTATGAGAATATATATCCAATGGAAATAAATACTCGTGGACTTTACATTAAATAAAATTATTCTGAAATTTATTTCATCTCAATTATGTTTAAACCTATTTGATCAGATAATAACGTCGATCAATCGTTATCTAACACATGACCTTTGCATGATACCAAAATTGGAAAGAGATAGAGACTATTCCTCATCGGCTCATGTGGACAAGGGTCCATCGTAGGTATTTACAAGTTGTCTCTCCTCATGACGATTGTGATGAAGAAAAGACTAAGGAAATATTTAATAAAATATTTTATCCTTTTATAACCATATATAAAAGCTCATTTTTAGTGTAGTTGAAAGGGATCATTTTTTATCATTCACATCCACATAAACTCATCTTATGTTACTAACTTGGGCATCAGGTGAACCAAATCGGGAAACCTCTTTCGACCTCAGTCTTCGTACATGTGGCACCTCTAAAGCTTGGTGTTTCCACCTCAGAGGCACATTAGATAGCCTTACACACATGGGTCTATACCACGTTAGGCTAATCGAGATGTTAACGATATTTTTTTCATAATATTATTAGTACTAAAAGGAAGACCCAATATCATAAGAATGCCCATTCGTCGATCTTCTCGATGAATGCCCGAGCAAAAAGGCTTTGCTCCCAACATATAGTACTTTCACCCAAGGGAGCAGCAACCATCCTTTTCATACACCGGTACATTTAGTGCGACATTGACACCGATAAGATACTTGATATATAGTCTCTCATCCCTGAACCACATACTCATTCTCATCAAGGTGTTCTTAAACATCACTCAGCAAGTGTCGATGCTAACAACATAATATAAACTATCTTTTATCTTTTGACTCAGTTAGGCTTAATAAGTGGTGCCACCAACTTACTTGTAGTTTGCGGCTCCATTACCATTGGCACTCTTTGAGATTCCTCAATCAAACATGGTGCCAACTTCTCAAGAGCACCTAAGGCCTATCAAACCGTTAATCGAGAGAGCACTCTAATCCCCAACCATGGAATATAATAGACCACACCATCGTCAATCTATCTCGATTAAATTCAAGACCCAATTAGTGGACTCAACGGAGGATTCTTTGCATATCTAATTATGACAAATGGACTATTATTTGGAGGGGATATAATGAGAGCTCCATCAATCCGAATGAGAGGCACTGGTTAACCTCACCTCGGGTCATTTATCATTCACCCAAAAATTCTATGATGAATCAGTTTCATCATGATTTTATCTTTTATACTTAGAGGCATTCGATGGTAATGCTGATCCGATGAAACACATTATAATTTTTAATCGTATATCACGATCTGACATCTTAAATGCCCTAATATGTCACATATTCTCAACCATATTAAGAGGTATAGCATGAGAATGGAGCACTCTTATGATGTTGCTTTCTATCTAGCCGGTGAGGGAGTTCAAATTTCAGTTAGGAATATACGTCCTTGAACCTTAGCGGCAATGCTCCTCAGACTCAGGTAGGAGGAGGAAGAAACACTTGCAGACTCCATCGCTTTATTCACTAATGAATTCCGAGGCATAGTAGATATTCATTCATTACTCATAATATATACATTCATAATAAGACTCAAGTTCTCTCGTCTCATTTGATCATAGATAGAAATACCACCAGCGACTATATTTAAGACACTTCAAATAGCCAATCAATATATTACTATTGAGGCACTGGTCTTAAGAAAGCATGAGGAGCTATGTAAGAGGCCAAAGCATGAGTGATTACAATCAATCCTAATCTCGAGTTCACTACAGTAACGGAGAACTGAATGATCGAAGTTTCCTTATCTAAGGTTTGAGCTAACCACTCTAAATATAATTAGAACTATAGTTTTTTAATAAATAAAAGAGAAGATACTCTTAATGAACCCTCACCCAATCAAAACCCTATTGACAAAATGAGATAGGTCCAAATACTATGACGGTGAAGATTATTATCAATTAAAAAAATAAATTGAAGAACTTATCGAAGACACCTCATGTGGTGTGTTCAAAAAGTGTGGTACTATGAGATGAGTGGGTAGATTTCTATGTTGAGTTCATCATTTAGTTTTGATATGGAATATGCTAATGTCGATCACAATCCACTAGTTAACTACCATGAAGGGTCTAACATAAGGAACATAGTGCCTAGGTCATTCCTTCCCTACAACTAATGGTAGGGTAGCAACCTGTTGCCCCCAACATATCATAACCCAAGGGAGGTGGTATGGGACAGACATTAGTGGCAGTAGCCCCTTGGTGATTAAACTTGCTTGTGCCCCCTAGTTGGCTCCCACATATGATAATAGTTCGGTTATCCCTGACAGTAGCTAGGACAGACAAACGATGCCCCTACAGTCATCCTTAACTGACGATACAACATAGGGGTTCGTACGAATCGACCGTCCACTTGAATGCACCACATGGGAACATACAAGTCGATCATCCATATGAATGCATCATAAAATGGTGTATAGGCTAGTCCTCATTAACCGTCAATCCCCCTTCATCGGTTGCTTAGGTATAAAAGCTAGTCCCTGAGACCTGAACAGGGATCAGACTCGAACCCACCAGTGTTTCAACCCTACAAAAAATTAACTTTACCATTAAAAGGGTCGGGTCAGGAAATCTCCCGTGGAGCTAACCGCTTATGCAGAATCCTCGAGGAGATCAAGGCCCACCTTAGCTTAGCTCCAGAACCCCGAGAAGTCTAGAGCCAACCTTGTTTCGACTTAGAAGCTATCTTGGACACTCAACTGCCACCTTGGAATTGCTTTGGTCAAAGCTTCCCTGATTCTAACATGGGCTACTCGGACGATTTTTTATCGACAACATCAGGATAGTAAAAAATTTGATGAGATAACGTTTTAATTCCAAAATATTAAAACATGACGCAAGTAACATCATTTTTTACTCATGCATTTGCAGATGATGATGTTCAAATGAAAAAAAAAAATCAAGAAATTCATGGATAATGCATATAGGACAACTATAATAACAAGAATAATAAAACTATAAATTTCAACTATTTAACAACTACAAGTGAAATTAAATGAAATATTCTCATGCACGGGAATCAAAACCTGGCACGAAATCCAAGAGGTGGTAAGCTCCAACATCAGTGGCTCGAGTAATTTCTGCATCGATATCGTGTTGGGGTCTGCAACCTGCCATACCTGTTCGATTCACTCACAGATGTTTCACAGTATGCATGTCCTCGGATGGCTCACGCACCTGACGCTGCCTTGTCTGGGACCAGATCAGTTAGCTCATGCAAGACAACACCACGCAAGCAAATCGGGCAATATTATCTCGGGTGATTGATATTTGTGGCAATGGATAAGTCTCTGTAACGCACACTGACGCGAGTCATAAATGCCAATTGATCTTGACCTTGTTGAGCGTGAAACTTGCAAGAGGCTGAGGTGAATAGGATGGGAATCAGCCTGAGAGAGAGGAAGAGTTGATAGTCACCAGCTAAGGTTTTGAAAATCTTGAAGACAGTGCCATTGTAACCATATCCACATCTTATCCCCACCCTTCCATGTCTTACATTCCATCTGTTGCAGCCATTTCTTGTCATGCAGCCAACCAGAGCTTAAATCTCGGATAAGAAAGGAGTCTGAGCTTTGACTTCTTCCTCTATAAAGACAGCCCTTCCTCCTGTCTCAGAGGATATCTTCTTCTGTGTGCTTGAGCAGCTTGCTACTGTTGTGTAGCAATCATGGTCTCTGCTGATGCCATTCGGACAGGAGTTGGGATCTTAGGTGAGTTGAGTTGGTGCTCCTCGGATTCTTTTATCTGTCCACCAGTGAATACTCTGCGTCTGTGTCGTTAGCAAACATCTGTATCGTATATGTACATATCTCACATGTGTCTTTGTATTCTTGGGATGTAAGAAGGTGACATGTTTCTCTCCTTTTATTGCTTCGGCAGGAAATGCAATCGCGCTGGGCTTATTTCTTTCGCCAGTGTAAGCATGGATTTACAGAGTCAACAACAATTAAGCTTTGGTTGCACTGGCTCAAAGCTGTTTCTTGTTCCATGAACAGGACGACCTTCGTCAGGATATGGAAGAAAGGATCGGTGGAGCAGTTCTCGCCGATCCCCTACGTCGCCACCTTGCTCAACTGCATGATGTGGGTGGTGTATGGACTGCCAATGGTGCACCCGCACAGCATGCTGGTGATCACCATCAACGGGTCGGGACTCGCCATAGAGCTCTCCTACGTGCTCCTCTTCCTCGTCTACTCTCACGGAAGCAAGAGGCTGAAGGTGCTCCTGATGCTGCTCGCCGAGACCGCCTTCGTCGCCGCCGTCGCTCTCCTCGTGCTCACTCTCGCGCACACGCACGAGCGTCGCTCCATGATCGTCGGCGTCCTCTGCGTCTTCTTCGGAACCATGATGTACGCTGCTCCATTATCCGTCATGGTACGTCAACTCAGCACATTCTAACCTTAAGATGATTCATTTTCCTCGGTAGCATTTATCGTGGAAGCAATGCAATGCGAACAATAAGCCTGTGTTGAGGCGTGACGTGACTGTCCTTTTTCTTTCCCTTCTTCGGATCATTATAACTAATATCTGATATAATTGTGTTGCAGAGGTTGGTGATACAGACCAAGAGCGTGGAGTACATGCCCCTCTTCCTCTCCCTTGCTTCTTTCTTCAACGGCGTTTGCTGGACTGCCTATGCTCTCATCCGTTTCGATCCATACATCACCGTAAGTAGAAGTGGAACTCGCACTGCATTCATACCGACTCCATTACTCTATGTCATGCATTTAGTATGGTTCCGAGATCATGTTAATGGGCATGTCAAAGCAGTCTCATACAGAGTGTTCTGAACAAAACCAGATAATTGCATGGTCATTAATGACCTTCAAAGGAAAGATGATGCCGACACTATTATTTCCTTGTCCTTTGCTTCAGATTCCCAATGGCCTCGGGGTGGTGTTCTCGGTGGCACAGCTGATGCTGTACGCGACGTACTACAAGTCGACGCAGAGGCAGATAGAGGCGGTGAAGAGGAAGACGGAGATGGGTCTGACCGACGTGGTGGTGGTGAAGGGAGACGCAAACAAGGCGGGGAGTGTTCCTTTCGCCGGCGGCAACCCTGAGATCCGTGCGATGTGATGATCACAAAAGGCTTCACGTCTTTTTCTGATATCGATGCACAAAGGGATGTGTGTTTCTTCTTCTCGATGTTAATCTGAGCCCGGTCGCCGAACAAACCACAGGGAAAGGCTGTTTCCATGACATAAAGAAATCAAATGCAAGGGTGTTTACGTTTTTTTTCTCTATTTTCGTATTTATTCTGAGTGGAGCTTGCATGCATAAACTTCCAGAAAATAATTATTATGACTATTACATGCATGCATGCATGCTTGCATAAACTTCCAGCAAGATGCTAAATCGATTGTCAAGAAAGAGCAAAAGAGGACAATCTAGATTTAGCTTCTTTGATCACTAAAATTAATTATGTTTATGAATCGCGAATGGTGATCATTAAATAAAAAGAGTGATTCGTAAATCGAAAAGGTAGGATGGATTTCTAGAAAGCTTATCGGGAATCTGGTTTAACTCAAGATAATGTCTTAATAACTGCATCAAACTAGACATGGATTCATCACTCGTAGCATTATTTTCTCATCATTAAACATAAACACACACACACACCACATACGAATATATGTAGTTCTCACCCTGACATTGTTTCTACAGCAAACGAAGCAAGCATGCACGGACTTCGTTCCTTTCTTTCTTACTTTTCTCTTTCTTTTTCTTCTCCGCTGAAAGAGAGTTCCAGGTTACAGAGGGTGGTTGAGCCTCCCCAGAAGAGATTGCCAGATAAGAAGAACGTGGTGGCATATAAATAGTTGCTCCAGTATACGTGCTTGGTTCCCATTTATCTGACCCTCAAACGTTCACAGTGGTCCTCCTCCCACGACCTCCGAACGGTGGCGTGCAGTCATCCCCGCCGCAGCTCGAATCAGGGCTGTACCCCGTGTGCCGCCCTGCAAGCCCAACTCCCATATGGATGGGGCTTCGACCGACCGGATTAATTGTGGCAGACGTCCCTCCGCCGGAGCTCGACGAGTCTGCCATGTTACCCGACTTGGCTCTCCTGGAGGTGGAGTTCCATTTCGTTACCGGCGGAGCCTGGGCTCGAACCTTGGCCATCGCGGACTGAGTGGCCGCCATGTAGCTCGGAACAGCCGGCTGCCGGCCGGGATCATCTCTGAGGTGGTAGGAATAGTGCATGGGATTTATTGGGCTTCGTCTCCCGGGGTCCATCTCGACCGTCTTCTCCGACAGGCCGTCCATGGCGGTGGCCGTGACGTAGGAGCTCATCGGCTGCGGCGGGGGTGCACCATGCCGGGCCTCCCACTGTTGGGCGGCCATCCAACGCTCCAGCCAATTCCAGCCCCATTGGGGCTTCTCATGCCACCGCTGTTGCTGCTGCTGCTGCTGATTACACGAGTTTAGGCAAACAGTTCGAATTGCTCAAAGCCACGGGGGGAAGTAAAGGAAGAGACGAATACCTGATAGGTGTAAGCGTAAGCGAGGGCTCTCTCTCGGCGGACGAGGGCATTGTGCTTCCGCTGGGAGTTGACCGCGATGGCGTCCAGGCTTTGCTGTCGCCCGTCCCAGTTCCTCAGTCCCAAACTCTTGGAGTTGTGGCTCTTCATGTAGACACGACGATTGCCTCCTCCATCTGCTTCCTCCTCCTCCTCCTCCTCGTCTTCTTCTTCCATGAGGTGGAAATCTTGGAGGTGGTCTCGTGGCGCTGCCCTCATTTTTGGATGACGGAATTGGTAAGGGCCATGGTGGGTGGCGGCCGCGGCCGCGGGGAACGGAGAGAAGAGCACGTTGCGGTGGCTGGCGACTTGGAGGCGGCGGTTGCGGACGAGGGCCTGCACGCGGACGAGTGACTGCATGCAGCGCCAGGTCATGTGTGCTTGCTTCCGGACGTGGTGGCCTCTCACGAGCGCCTGCAGCCTCACCAGTCCCCTTAACGCTCGTAATGCCCTCCGAGCCTGCAAACAACTTCGGTGGTCACATATCCTGCAATCTCTTTGCTTCCGCCAATAATACCATGCCCTCCTTGGTGAATAAAAATGCCAACTGAAATCAAAATTATCCGCATTTTGAAGAAGAAAAAGGGAACCACACAAATTCTGCTTATCTTACAATTCTGTATGCAACATCTTGAACTAGGAGACGAAACTACGGAGAATGTGTATGATTGATGAGAACCAACAGGTTGGTCCATGCTCTTGGTGGAGTTGCTGTAACAGTAGGGCATCCGTGCTCCATGACAATTGTCCTGGGTCACTACCTGGGAACCCCACTTGGTCCTTTCCTAAAGAGAATCCCAGCAGAAACTCATCGTTTTCCTCAAGGAAATAGATGAATCACACTACCATGCATCTCTCTGTCATGTTTGCCTTCTTACTAAAGCCAAACTCTACATACTGGTGTGATAAGGTTTATTGAATCCTACAACACCTTTGCACACTGATCCAAAGCAAATCAGATGGCTGTGTTGTTCTATACATAGACCATGGAGTACCCCATGCTGCAACTTTAATTTGTCCATGTGCTCTGAGTTATTGCTTTACCCTCAGTACCCTTCGCCATGGGGCATTGCGAAGATACGATTCGTTTCGCTTCGCATCGTCCACGGTTTATAATCCTGTACTCGTGTCCAACTTCATCTATAATACATAATTGCATATCGGCATCATTATAATTCATCGGTATGATCATCATAAACGGACTCTAATATAGCGGTTTCTATGTGTTGTAGCGGTGAGACGGTTAATAACGGATGTATGGCTGTCACAGCTACTGTAGCGGCGATACGGTTAACAACGGATACTACAGCTGTTGCAACAACTAATGACGACACGCGTGCAGGGAAACGCAGGCGTCCCGCACACGACGTGAGGGGCGCAGGGGAATCGCGAAATCCCCGGGGAGGAAACGACGATCAAAACAAGGAAGAAGGGGGAGAGGGATGTCGCTCACCAAGTAACCGCGGTAGACGGACTGGATGACCACCGCTGCTCGCTCCTCCTTCGACGGCCGGACGCAGCCAGCCAGCCGGACGACCCTCGCGGCGGCCTCCGCTGCCGCCGCCGCGGCCCTCGTGGCCGCGGCGATGGCCCGCTCCCGCTCTGCCACCTCCTCCCCCCACCCTCCCCCGCTCTCGTGGTTCGTCGCCTCCGGCGACGTCTCCGCCGGAAAGTGCTCCACCGACACTATCTCCGCCGCAGCGCCGTCGTTCTCTTCCGCCTCCGCCTCCGCATCTGCCTCCCTCTCCCACTGCACGCAAGAAGAAACCAGCAAAGGCGACGTCTCAGGCGCCGACAACTATAAGCTGAGATGAAGACGGAGGGAGGAGGGGAAGGAATACCCGGTGATCGGACGGCGGGGATGAGTCCTTGGGCTTGAATACCTTCTTCACGGTGGAGAGCCAGCTCGTCTTCTTCCCCATTCTCCTCAGCGGAAGTCTCTGGATCGCACGCAGAGAGAGAGAGAGAGGTAGGTGAGGGACAGAGGGAGGAGTATAAGTGCGGGCTCGTGTGATGTGTGTGTTGTAGGCGCCGATGGTATTTAAGATTGGTCACGGGGGCGCTCTACGGCACAACAAAAACAAATAAGTAGTGATTTATGAGGTTAGAATTTATTGGAACTAATTCACATAATAATAATAATTATCTCGGAAGAACATATCGGATCAAAATGACGTGAAGAAAAAGTATGTGTTGAGTAGTCTTCATAATAGCACTTCAATGACAAATGCAAGTTTACTGCCACTTCAAGTTTGCGTTGCATGTCATGATGAAGAGCAAATGCAAGTTTTAAGAGACCCTTCTCGGAAGGCAACGCAGCTGCGCCACACATGCACCTTTCTGTCCATCTTAGCCGTGCTGCTTCCGATTGCCACCGCTCCGTGCGCACACATACATCCAATGGCCTGATTGGCTCCAACCAGAAAAGATTGGGGCTTAAGATCTATTATGCACAGCAATTCGGGTGGGCTTCGCTTCGTAAGTTGTTACTATGAATTCAGAAAAGATAACTTTGCTTTTACATGTAAGCTAAAAAAATATTTCGTTGATTTTTTAATATTAATATCGATATAAATATTTTCAATATATTTTGTTATTCATATGTGAGTTGATTATCTTCACCTTACTCTTAAATGTTTAAAATTTATTTGTATATTTTTTTCTTACAAAATAAATCACTTGCATAGGTTTAGCTTTGCGATGTTGACTCATCTTTATTTGATTAAACTATAATTTGATTAACTCAATCGTGAGTCTGAGTCTAGAATTAACATATTGATTGAGAATATTTTAACGACTAATCTTCATTTGCTAATTAGTGATCACCAAGCTTTGATATGAAATAAAAAAGGATTAAGTCACTCCAATAATGTAGGGGTGGTTATGGTCTGTCGATCGTCGTGGACAATAGTCTACAAGAGGTCATTTAGACTGACCTCATTAGCCTCCGTGAATAGCAGTCCATGAGAGATTGTTTGGACTTGTCTCTTACTTTATCGATCTCGATAGATAATAGTTCATGAGAGATCATCCGGGTCTATCGTCCCCGTGGATAAAATACCGATAGGAGATGTTGAGGCCATTACAGAGAATCCCCTTAGCCAATCAGGAATAAAAAGTTGATCGCCCATACCGACTTAGGGGTCAAACCCTTTTCTAAAATACCTCTCACATTTTCATATAATCTTTTGACTTTTGTACAAAAATCGATCGAGATATTAGATTTCACTTCACCCCACCTCAAGAATACCTTAGCAATCATAAAGGTTCCTTGGATGTTCCTATACTTTTAGAGTAAAATCGAGCCGAATTGACTTAATTGAATGACACATCTCCGTAACACATATTATATCATATATCAATTCAATTTAAAAATTCTTTTAAATTATGAGTCAAATATAATATGTGTAAACAAATTCTTTCAATCATTACTAAATTCTCTCGGTGGATCTGAATTTTATCTCAATAATTTTCTATAAATATTTGTATTTTAAAGTATTATTTATATAAATTTTGAAAGGTTAGCATTATTTTAGTCGATAAATACTCTGTCTGATTAATGCTCCAATTTAAATCAAATTTTATCTTCAATACTTAATGCTACAAAAGATATTTATTTTCCAAGATATCCGCTGCAGGAAATATCACGAGGTTGGCTGTTATTATCTCCGACCCCTTGTTTCATGTCACCTTTGTTGTTGGTGGAGCGGTTGCCATTAATCTAAGAAAGAATCATAACTCCCACCTTCAGCGACATGCATGAGATGGCTAAGCTAAGCCGTCTCTATCATATAAATATTACGAACAATTAAAATCTATAAACACTTAAAAAGCACAAAAACACACAATGAAAATGGTTGTTATATTTATGACATTGTCACTTTCAAGCAAAGATGCAGCAGTTCTTGGGAAAGAACGCCGAGTCCGTCCTTTAATTCGGTCCACGAAATTGTTGACATCTTACATCTTGATTAATCTCACCCGCGGATGTTGACACCCTTCCTTTAAGTCCGTGCAATAATACTCCATATTCTATAATATCCTCAACATTTAATGGAGCCTCTTATATAATAAATAATATTCACGTGTTACGTTTATATTTGGAGTTAGTCATTTATATTTGCTAACAGAAACTCCAGCGGTTGCTTGCGCTTGTTTGATACGATACGTATAGTAATGGTAACGAGATTCACGTGTTCTCACAAGACTCATGTGACACGCAACGGCGTTGCGGTCGTCACCAGCACGCGTCCGACGCCGTGGCAACCGCGCCCTAACTCGCACGTGCGTTCCGCCGCTCGTGTGATGATCGATCTGGATCTTGGACCGTCCAGATCGATGGATCTCTTTCATCTCGACGGCTGAGATCGAGGGATTATTCCTCACGCAGATCGACGAGGTTGGGCCGATTTGGCTCGTGCTTGCTGGCCCGAGGTTCGACCTAGGTGGCTTCGGCGTGGCTTCGAATTGAGCCGCCCAACCTCTAAAGTAAACTACATAAGGGGAGCGAAACATCTTGACGTGTAAGCTCGGCTGGCTCGGGTCGCCGAGAGTGGGAGCCGGCTCCTCTGCACAAGAATATCGTACCGCCAACGAGTGCTTATCGTCATCATCGTATGCCGGTGTCCAACTTCGGATCACGATGCCCAAACCCGTACATGAGCAGGTGGGGGATCCTCTCCAATACTACTTTGTAAGGGAAGCTCCATCTCTCAGATCGAAACCGTTCAATAAGCTAAAAGAACTTACGATCTATATATCCAACGGTCATATCGAGGTGCTTCTTCAGGATCGTCGGAGAGGATCCCAATTTGACAGATTTGGATCCCCAAATACACCCGGTCTCACTTCCCACCCGTCAACGGATCGAAGAATTCTGTTCATCCCCCGAAACTCCTCTTTGCCAATCCAACCCCTCGGCTTTCCAAACTGGAAGCTTCGATGTCGGATTTGTTCTGGAGCGAGGAGGAGCGGGGCATGGCTGCCGCCGTCCTCGGCCCCGTGGCCTTCGACTACCTCGCCGCCAGCCGCACATCCTCCGACGGCCTCACCGCCGCAGCCTCCTCCGCCGAGGCCGACCTCCAGAGCCGCCTCCTCGACCTTGTCGAGGGTCCCCCCGACCGCCCTTGTCTCGGCTGGAACTACGCCATCTTCTGGCAGATTTCCCGCGCCAAGTCCGGTGACCTCGTCCTCGGCTGGGGCGACGGGTCCTGCCGTGATCTCCGTGACGGCGAGGAGGCCGCGGCGGCGGCTGCGGTCGCGAGGTCCCCCGGTGACGATGAGTCCCAGCAGAAAATGAGGAGGGCCGTCCTCCAGAAGCTCCACGTGTACTTCGGGGGTTCCGACGAGGACAACTACGCCCTCCGCCTCGATCAGGTCACCGACGCCGAGATGTTCTTCCTCGTCTCGATGTACTTCTCCTTTCCTCGGGGGAAGGGCGCGCCAGGTCGGGCTTTGGCGGCCGGGAAGCACCTGTGGATCTTATCGCCCTCCGACTACTGCTACAGGGGCTTCTTGGCGGCGTCTGCCGGGTTCCGCACGATCGTTGTAGTGCCATTCGATACAGGCGTTCTCGAATTGGGATCCGTTAGATCGCTAGCTGAAAGCCCTAATTCATTGCAGACCATAAAGTCGGTGTTTTCGGGTACGACGCCTGCGGGGATGCCGCAGTCTCGCGAGAAGTACGAGAGGAATGGATCAGAGGCATGCCCAAAAATCTTCGGAAAGGATCTAAATCTGGGGACTTCTAATGTCAATGACAAGCCTCTAGTTACAAAGGTAGAGGATAGTTCTTGGGATACACAACTAAAGAGAGGCAGCGGGGATTGGGTGCTGTTTCCTAATGTTCGGAAAGGAATGCAGAGTTTCAGTTGGAACCATGTCCGCGGCCCGAGTTCTCATCAGCAGCAGTTTGGTAATGGCGCTGTGATCACTAGCAGTGAAGTCGGCGATCACAGTGATGGAGTGCGGGGAGATACTTTGCTTGGGCAATTGCAGATTCAGAAGAATCAGCATAACCCCCAACAATCACTGCAGCCACCACCGAGGCAGATCGATTTTAGTGGAGGGACTTCGAGAGCTGGGACTTTGATTGCCCACGTTGGTGCACTGGAAGGGGACCATGTAGACATAGAGGTTTCATGTAAAGATGAGAGGGTTGGCCCGCCAGATGAGCGGCGCCCAAGGAAGAGGGGAAGGAAGCCTGCAAATGGGAGGGAAGAACCTCTCAATCATGTTGAAGCAGAGCGCCAGAGGAGGGAAAAGCTTAACCAGAGGTTCTATGCTTTGCGTGCTGTGGTGCCTAATATTTCAAAGATGGATAAGGCATCTTTGCTGGGAGATGCCATTGCATATATTACGGAGCTCCAAAAGAGGTTGAAGGAGATGGAGTCCGAGAGGGAGAGATTCTTGGAATCCAATGCGATGGATCATAGCACCCGAGTGCATCAACCTGAGGTTGATGTGCAAGCTCTTGAGGATGAGGTGATTGTGCAAGTCAGCTCTCCATTGAATACCCATCCTGTTTCTAAAGTTTTTCAAGCTTTAAAGGAGGTGCAGGTTAATGTGGCAGAATCAAAGGTCACAGGTGGTGGAGAAACTATTCAGCATACTTTTATCATCAAATCACCAGGCTCCGAACAGCAAATTAAGGATAAGATAATTGCTGCTTTGTCTCATGGAAGTGACTCAACAGAGCAATTATACTAACAATGACCCAGACGGAGTAGGAAGGATCATGTTATCTTATCACTTTGGAGTCTGCTGCAAATAGTGATATACGTTCTTTTCATGGTTTACTTGTCCTCATCACCTCAGTCAGGATCTGACCTTGCACAGCATTTGACTAACCTGTTGGTTCACCAATAACTCTTTTGTTATTTGTGATGGTAAGAATCTTCATGATAATGTTTTACTGACAATTTGTAACGTACACTTATTTCATAAAGTGCTATATGTTCACTATTTCATAAAGTCCTATTTGTAGTGTACACTTATTACAGTTTATAGCTCTATCTATATGCAGTATGTCAGGGCAGAGAGTTCTGGTCATCATTTGGTAATTAGCAATGCCGTCATCATATGCCTAAGAAACCCATGTGTAAGTTCTTCATATGTTCAAATCCTAGGTTGCCTAGATATCAGCAATTGGATGTCTCTCCCGGTGGGCACTTAAGATAATTTTCATAGAATGGTTGTGCGTTTCTTCTTGAGAATCTGTATTTGTATTAGCTTTCTCCCTGTTTTTGTATATACATCTTTTATTGAAAAATTGTCGAAAGTTGAAAACTTGAAATGAAGTGGTAGTACTTTTGTCATGCTTGTCACGTTTGCAATAAAGTTAATGTAGTTGAGATGAATATGTTCAGGTAGATGTTTTCACTTATGAGCAATAAAGAATAAAAGTGTTTTAATATTCGAATAATTGCATATAGCTCTGATAGAGGATAAAAATAAAGGAAAACTATCCGAGATGGTATGAACATATTTAAAGAATACTTTTACATGCATTGGTTGTGTAAGGTGAATCTATTAAGATTAGTGATATAAACAGTGATAAAGGGAGATCCAAGAATTCTATGTTCGAAACAATAAAATGAGATTTAATAGCTCTAAGTTTATTGTCCTATAAAGAGCTTACTGATGTGAAAAACTCCAAGTAGATGGCCCCAAACAATCGGGACATTATGACTTGTTGTTGTGTTTTTACCATGCCGAGTTGTCAAGATATAGGTGGCGACTTGTGCTGCACTTTTAGTCTTCTAAGAGGATTCTGGTGTTTGGTTCCTAAAATTCTAGTATCTTGGTCTTGACCAGCCTACACATGGTAAGTTGGATTTGATTTGTAGGTCACGATATACTTAGATGATAAATTTGAAGCTGTCTTTCTTGTCGAAAGGGAACTAAAAGAGAGATCCAATTATTCTCATAAAAAAGGAACTAAAAGATATCCAATTAGCTCTTTTGTCACCATTGGGCACACAAACTCTGTATCTTGTCACATTGTTTAGGTCTAAATTCATTCATTCATTTGCACATACTTATTTTCCTAGCTACGACAAAATTTTGAGTTGTTCTACTGTTGTGTGAAGCTGACAGATGTCCACCGTTCTGTTAAAATTCTCTTAAAAGATGAACCAAAATAGATCCACTTGCATATTTATTATCAACTTTGTAGCAAACTATTTATCTGATGAGAATGCATACTTTAGATTGTGTTACTATTACATAAAGCTGGACCATATGCTTATTTTCATTGACCGCTACTACTAGCATGACGAGTCCCTTCTTGGCAATATGCCTCTTGATTCTCCTTGGTGGGTGGATGAATGAATTTTTCCTTGATCGTACTGTGGTCTAATTGATTATGAGTTAATATCAAACTTCAATATTTATCTGGATGTTTGAATTCGAGGAACAGAAAAATAGGTTGGATGGCTGAGAAATAAAGTTGAAATTGCTTAGTAATGATTTATTTTTTCATCCATGATCCTTCTACATGAAACTCCTCATTTCTGTTCACCTTATCAATTATTGACTGTATTGTAGGAATTGGGTGCTACCCTCGGCATAAAACAATACTTAAAGACCTTGTTATAATCATATAATTAGTCTTTTGTCTGATATAGTCATCTCTTCTTTCTTTAACCTGGCGGCTGCCTTTGGTGTTGTGTTGGTATTTTGTCCATGCAGGTTTCCTACACTGGTAAATCTAATGCTGGCTAGAGTGCGACATAGGCCGGTATTTAAATCATTGAATGTGAGATCTGATGATAAAGCGAATCTTGCTTTTGTAAAGCTTGTTGGAAATCCTTCTATTTTCTTAAGAAACATAAATATGTTAAAATGAACAAGACAACATGTGAATTGATTGTAAGTTTTTGCTTTTTTTGTGTGTTTCATCCATGATGTATCATTACCGCGCTTGCACTTCAATTTTTTCCTGCTCTAACACAGAAAACATGTTGTTTGGACATGAAATGCTCAAATGCTATGATAAGAATCGCGCAACTAACTTATGCAAATATGTAAGGCAGAATTGTGTTTCTAGTTCACTTTTGTGTACAAAGATGTGTATTCTCAGCAACCATCTATCTTCTTCTACTGACATGTTTTCCTTATTGCTTGGTCTAAATTGACCACAAATTTGTTACTGTAGTTTAGTTTCCTCTTGAAATGCACCTTCAGAAATATTCATTTTGTGGTGAATAATGCTACTTGTGCATCCATGTTGCTTCATGGCTTGGTAAATTGCAGTGTTGCTATGTGGTTGGTGACAACATTTAAATTTATTTTTGAAGCTCGTATGACAAAATGGCTGTCTAAAGGTTGTAGAAGGATGAAACTTTTTCCTGCATCGAGGTGCTGGTGGTGCTTCGGTTCAGTTTCTTTTTCTTTTGTTCTTTGATTCTGAGTACATGAGAGTCTGTTTCCCTTGCTGAAGCTTGTCAATTCTTTTCATGGCTGTTTGGTAACATAACAGGTTACATATACATAATATGGGTATAATATCTGTCCCAAAAAGTAAAGCTCATAGATGGACTCACCCTACAGGTCTCTCTATGCATTCTTGACGACAGGGAGTGAGTGCACAAGGAAAGAGACAGGAAGCATTTCAAGAACACAAATGTGCGAGGCCGAGCATCCCGACCCCGAAGGAATCGACGAGGCGCCGGTTCAACCCAGAGGGGACACACATGAACGGTGACGAGGAAGGAGGGACCGACGGGGCAATCGATTGCGTCACCCATTGCTCTCCCCGTTGTGAGAGGATGCGGCCGATTGGTTATCTCGATTGGGACGCACATGATTCCTATGGTGGTGGCGGCCGCGTACGTCAAGCACCGGGGTGGGCGTTTCTTCGGTCCGGTACGCTCGCTCTGTACGTTTAGCAGCTGTCGTTTAATCCTTGCTTTTCTGAACGCTAATGATGGTAACAGGAAGCCCCAGACTGCGTTCCTCCCCGAGTCGCCAAGTAATTGGACGACTCGACGAGGCAGCTTAATATACCCACCTTCGCGGTGCTCGATAACCGACTGTGACACAAGTCGTAGCGGTATGCACACCTTTCCGGTGCCACAACCGAGTTGTTTACCAGAAGGCGTACCTAAGGAGCAACGCAGAGCTCCACGGAATTGACACCGACTGCGGTGTGCTTACTGCCCATGCCATTTAAAGCGCCCTGTTTCCCACTACTTTGCCGTTTCGGGCCTCTCGGCTCCTCGTCTGTTTCATTCCTTCCCTCCCTCTCTTCTCTCTTTCTTGTCTTCACCACCTCATTGTCGTCGAAACCCTAGCGTTACTTTGCGTCGGTGGAGGTGTCCTCGTGTCTCTGGCTGCCCTTTTTTGAACTAAAGTTCGTCTCCGCGGCGTCTCGTCTTCTTGGAGGAGGTAATGGCTCCCGTTCCTCTGTCGAACGAAACACTGCATCGCTATCAGAGCATCGTGAACGTTCTGATCCAGTCGAAGCCTTCTTTCTTGATGCCCTTCACCTTTCTTGCCGCTCTTTCTTGTTTGTGTATGTTTCTTCGTGAGGGTTTGTATTCTGCATCCCTGTCCGACAGTCCGTGTGCTAGGAACGTTTCGGTCCAATCGAAACCTTTTTGCCTCTGCCGTTCCCCCGCCTTGTCGAACTTTTCTTGTATGCGTTTGTTTCTTCGTGAGGGTCTGCTCGCGTACTTGCTTTCTTGAACCGGGTGGGGTGTGTCGTTTGTTGGACCAGCGGAGAAGTCCCAAAAAAACGACGGAAACCTTGCATCGTTACTTAGAGCGAAAATAAAATTTTGATCCGATGGAAATCATCATTACTTCAATATATCACTCCGATTAGTCCCACCTCTCGGACTAATCGGAAGTGGGTCTCGACGAGAACGTTATAATAGGCAAGTATCTCATTATCATTTTAGGGTTTGATCTTGGCTATGTTGGGTCTTGAAGAGAACGTTAAACTCCTGAGCGAAAAAAGTTACAATATCTTGACTAGTCCTATATCGGAAGTGGGCCTACATCAGTAGTTTGAGTCAAATGAAGTTGATAGACTTGTTAGTCCAAGTGAAGTTGATAATCAATTATGTCATATAGGTTTGATCGGTTTAAGTCAGTTTAAAATGAATCTAAAATAACTTGATTAGTTTAAGCCTACTTGACCTAATTGAAATCAATCAAATCTAAATTATACCAGTCTAGGATGATTCCAGATCGATTCTATAAGGATTTGAGATTGGTTCTGTTAGATCGTAATTGAATTGAATTTGGTTTAAGCCAATTGAGCTATTTTAATTAGGGTTTTGGTTGATTGAGGATTATTGAGAGATTGATGTTTTATGTATTTATGATTTGATAAATTTAAAGATTTTTTTTTAATGTGTCATTTGAAAATGATTATTGATTTTTTATTTTTTTAAGCTTATGATATTGATAAGATTGTTACCATGTACTATATGTGACTATGCTAGTGGTTCACACTGGAAGTGCAACCTGTGAAAGGAGCTATGGATCTATCACAGTGCGGAGCCACCAATGGACATAATCTAGCATATCATACATCAAACATGGTCCCTCGTAATATTTTATCATATTATTTTTTGGATTCATGCGTGAATGAATAAATTAATGTAAATGAATGATCGTGGTTGTTTATAACTTTATATATCCCTGCCAAGAGCAGGTAGGGCGATTCCCTTCGAGGATTAACGGGTCATCCGACGTGACGGTTAGGTGGTTCATCTATCCGCTATTAAGAGTATGATATGGGTTCTCTCCATTTGCTGTTGAGAGGAATCCATCTCGTAAAGTATGCCTCTCCATCCGTTTTTAGGAGAGTGTACCATCGGGTATGATGTACGTATTTGTTATCTGACTATTATGTATGTGTTGCATGTGACTGATGCATGATTTTATTTATTGTATAAGAATTATCATTATTTTTCTGATGCATAAGTTTTATAATGGATCGATATATTATCATTTCATATTAAATTATTAACATTGGTATATATTTCACGAGTATTGAAGATTATTTTTATGATTTTTCAGATGTTCTTACCAACATGTGTTGTTGTTGATATATTTTTATCTTATATTTGTTTTCAGAGTAATCTGTTACTTTGTAATAGGTCTGAGGCTTGAGTTAAAGAGCATTTTTTACACTTGTGGTCGTACTAAGAAAATGTGGTCCTTTTTCTAGTTAATAAAATATTTACTATATAAAGACAGAGATTTGAATTCAATGATGAAAAAAAGGAGTGACTTCTATAAATTATGAATAATAAAAATGATGATTTATTATTTTTTTATAAATTTAGGATATGACAATTTAATGGTATCGGAGTCGATTAAGTATTTGGGCATGGTGAGGGGGCTTAAGTAGGAAAGAGCTACCCGTGGATGGAGTCAAAGGACTCGTCATGACGTTGAGTCACAATTAGGTTACGCCTCATATGCACCATGCTAGAGTTTGATCTGGGCTATACTGGGCATTGATGAGGATGTCAAGCTTGAGTGGGGGAAATTATAACATCATGATTAATCTCACATTGGAAGTGGATAAGATTAAGAATGACTTATAATGATTTGATGATTATATTATTATCAACTTTCGCTTAAGCATTTTGTCTAGTGGTTTGGGCCAAATGAAATTGATAAGCCAGCTAACCCATCAAACTTGGGTCATGATAGGGAGGATTGTGACACGTGACTTTCTTTGGTTCTATATGTTTCTTGGTGGTTTCTTTGATCATTGAAGACATTGTCGCTTGTTTCTTGAATCATGGAGGCTCTTGTAAGTCAAGACTCCTGTTTCTCCTACCATGAGCCAGACCTTTATTTTAAATCTTTCATATATGGTTTTTGGAATAAGATGGTTCTATCACATTATTTTATGATCAAGTTCTACTTCTTCAGATTTGGCCTTCATCAATTCAAAGCAGAGCCTAAGCTTTCATTCTATCAAAAAAAAGAAAAAAAAACCTTAATGCATGATATCATTGTTTAGTTATTTATCTTTGGTGTTGGAATGTAGCATTTCCTTTGCCTTGATATTCATAAAGTAGGTTTTTAAAAGGAATTTTTAGCTGTGCCCCCTACCTTTTCTTGGTTTATGATCGACTCATATTTTGAAATTTGAACTGCTTGATTGGTTTTATTGTTTTCTACATTTTAAATCTATATTTAGAGAAGAAATGTTTTAAATCTGAAACTTATGAGAAAACACGGTGCATGCTGGTCAGTTTTAATTTTTAAGCTCCAATCTCAAATTATACTTGTTTTATGTAAAGAGTTTTATCCATTGTTGTCCCTTTGAGTCACAGACTATATGTTTGTTAAACATTTATTTGGTTTTTTAGATTGGGCATCGTGTGGTCAACAACATCTTACTATGTCATTTTCCCCTTTTCTTGAATTTTTCTATTATGGATATAATCTGACATCTTCAAAATAGTCTTGCCATGTGTTATTATTTTGCTTGTATTTGTCTTTATACTCTGCCCTTAAACTTTCACAAATTTTTTCTTCATAAAAGAAGCATTAAATTACTGTTAGTAAGAAAAATGCCTATAATGTGCTATTATGATTATACAAGTTTAATGTATCATTTAACCTGACTTGTTTCTCCATTATAGTTCTCCAGTTAATATCACTAGAAGGTGTTTTTTCTGTAGTGATTGGTTTCTTTCCTTCATATATTCAATTTGTTTTAGCTTTTATACTCAATTCTTATGTGATAGTTAAGTTAAATTTGGTATACACGAAGCAAGTTCTTTGTTATTGAAAGTTGCTTAAAATGCTGTTGGAGGTCAAAGCTAAGTTTTTTCATTATCATGCTCCTCAGAGCACATTGTTGCAAATTTAACGTGAACTGGAAACTGATTTGATTGAATGCATGCAGCAATCACATGATTCACTGGACATGGCATGAGTCATACTGGTGCTTTCTTGTGTCTTCCAGACCCTTAAATTTGTGTTTATCAGCAATTCTGTATTCTTCATGTCTATGTGGTTTGGAAGCGGCATATATTGTATACATAAATCTGTCACTTGTACTAGAAATTTATAGTTCCTTTTTGTCTTTCATACAGTAAATTTATCAATATTTTGAAAATGGTTTACCTATGATCACATGATTCAGAGACATGCATGTTTGATTTTTTAATTGAATTTTATTTCAAATTATCGTCGACATGATCTTGACATGGTTGACTGAAGTAAGATTTGTATTATGTTATGCTTTCACATTCAGGAAGATGGCAAATCGAAGGTCATCTAAAAGATCATATTTAGAATTCTTAGATGGAAATGATGATGGTGATTCTAAAGTATACAGATTTCAAATTCTCCTGCCGAATGGTGCAAGTGTACGGCTTATATTTAATGATCCAGGGGAAGATATGTTCTTGGATGAGTTTATACACATCATCAGAAAGGAACTTGAAAAAACTGCAGAAACGACAACAAAAGCTAGTCGAAAGATTTTCTGGAATGGAAACATCTATCTGGAGGATATGTCTGACAACAAGATTAGAAAGAAAATCTCTTTTAGCCATTTTCGCACTAACAAATGTCACATACTAAGGCTTCATGTATGTATGTTAGACATCACATTGTCTGCTATGTTAGTTCAGTCCGATCTCTTTCTTCTAACTTAAATTTAACTTTAGTCATCAGTTTGATTCTCAATTTTTATTAGTTTCTATTTTCTTAATCTAATTTTTCCTCTCTTTTGTTTATTTTTTGAAGGATGAGGGAGGTGAATCTCTTGATACTTACCATGTAAGTGTTCATTTGTAGGCTCTGTTCTTCCTAGTTCCTATAGTACTTAAATTTAGTGATTCACAAATCTATATTTGCAATTGTTAATTTTTTATGCCTTCTGTGTATTTCTTGTTTGGTTCTATCTGGCATTTAATCAATTTGATGTGTTGTAGAAATTGCTTTGTCCTATAACGCTGTGACTTGTGATGGACAAAATATTGGTTTCCTTGTCATTTTGCAGAACATGTGGGATCTGACACCACATACTGATCTGTTAGCAGAACTTCCAGCAGAATATACCTTTCAAACTGCTCTAGCTGACTTGCTTGTGAGTTACTTGAAACATGTGGTTGAAGATTCTGATTTCTTCTACTGTTTTTATGCCATGATGTTCTTGTGATTGTTCTTTCATATTTTTCTTCTTTGGCTGTAGGATAATTCTTTGCAAGCTGTATGGTCTAATGGCTCTGGTGAAAGGAGGCTAGTTAGGTAAGCAAATGAATGTTTACTATTTAAATGGAGCATGACCAAAAATTACTTAGAAAGTTATCAAGGCAAGTGGTGTGTTCAAACTTATGGGTTGCTGCATGTCATGCTTAAGCACATCCTCGTACCAAGTTTGTACGACTACAATATACTTTTTCGTGCAAGACATCACTATTTGTGTGCCAAGGCATCATTGGTACATGCAGTATATAGGCATTCATGCAGCAAATGGTTCAGTTTTGCTCCAATATATGTTATTTAGTTTGATTATTCATGCAAATGTTAATTTCATTATTAGTTTCTTGCATGTTGTAGTTTGTTTAGCCTATGATTTTATTATGAGGTATTATACATAATGCTTTTAGTTACACTGGTTGTAACTAATTTTGATGTAAGGCAAAACTTTCTTTTAACTTGTTTCAAAAAGAAAATATTCACATTTTAGCAAAGGCTTCGTCATTTTGTGTTTTGGAAACTATTAAGGATGAAATAACTAGCAATTAACATGTGAACTTAGATGCCTTATACCTTTTGATAATATGATCTGTACTACATTGACACAGAGTGACAGTTGATGAGCAAAAAATCGAAATTTTTGATAGTGGCCAGGGGATGGATGGTAGTGAGGAGAACTGTATCACAAAGTGGTATGTTATCTATGGAACCCATTCCTTTCCTGATGATCTTGTTTGCTTGCATTCCTAATGTCTATTATGAATTGATGTTGCAACATAATATTTGATTCTTTAATTGCAATCTGTATTCCAACCTCCGTTGCTCATGAATGATATTTTAGTTCTACCATTGTTCTTGCTTAGTTTTTCAATAACCTTTCCAACCCGTTTCATTATTCATATTTTGCATGATGTTCTATGATCTAGATTTTGTGAAACAAATGTAATTCTGAGTAGCTCAACAGATTTATCATATAACATCTTTATTATTTAGGGTCACTAGATTTTGAATTAGATGATCAGCCTCCTACTAGAAATTGATAAATAAGGTGAGCACATGTGAATTTGAAAGAGGGGAGGAGCGAGGGAGATATAAAAATTAGTCTAAATGTTTGAAATAAAAGAGGATTTACTGCTGCGATTGCAATGTGATGGCAGCTTAAAAACTGTGATATGGAGCTTTTAAGCTTTTCACGATAGATTTGACATTTTCCCAATCATGTAACTTTAATAAGCCTCTTTCTGCCAAATAATTTTAGAGATCCGATCATCATCCACCACCTTCTGCCTCTCTCGAGCCAGCCTTCGATGATGAGCTGCCTCTTTCCAATTCTCAGGCCTTACCTATCATTGCTGTTGCTGCTGTTGGGATTTGGCCACCGTCACCCGGTCACCTCCCTATTGTACACTTCTCTCTAAGCTCTCTCCTTTCTCTTAGTGATGGGCACCCTACTTCTCAATTCCTTTCCTGTTCTCTGACTGTGATAGCTACATAGTCAACCCGTTCTTCCATACTACCTACCTCTTCTCTCTGCATAAACTGAAAACAACCAATCAGCAACCGGGATATCTAATGTCTCAGGAAAGGAATATCAATGTTCAGGTAGAATTTCAAGCTTTCGCATTGTTGATTCTTCTTGTTGCATATTTTTTTAATTCTTTTTGAGCAAATTCTGGGGCAACAAAATTGAAGTAAACAAGTTAGAAGGAGGATCTTTCTAAATACAAGTTGATTAAAAATAATTGTTTAATTTTTCTGGAAACTTTTTAGTGATTTTTTCTAGTCATATATATATATTTTAATTTTGATGTCTTTAATTATCATAACATTGGCATGGTGATGATTTATAAGCCACCTATGTTACCTTATTTTAGCTGTTGCTGGCATTTTCTTTCTTTATATGTTATTGGGTTGATACACGATGTGTATGTTCTTATAGGGGAAAGATGGGTTCTTCTAAGCATAGGGCTTGTAGAAGCAAGGCCATTGGTACTAAAGCTCCATATTTAATGGTAAACATTAGACACACAGACATATGTAATGACTCAAATTCCTCTTTCTATCATAGTCACTGTGTTTTGAAGTTTCATGGCTTTCTTTTATGCTTTGATGGGTTGTACATGATGTTCGGTGATGACCTTATGATTTGTTTTGTGGTTTTATCCAAAAATGTTTCTTGTTTATTAAACTATATTAATGAACAATTGAACATAACAAGTATATTAGTAGGAGCAAATGACACTTTAGTCCATTTGTGGTGTAGAAAAGTATACATGGTTTTGCATTTGTGGGTAATGATGCATAAGCTGGTTATTTGAATGAGGCAACATGTGCATCTTTTGTACCTTGTTAGACAATGTTTCTTATTTGCGTATAGTGTAAGTATATGACCCAATGATCATCAATAAAGAATAATACCATTAGTCTACCTTTATTTATGTTAGTTATAAACTTATAACTATTTGCTTGGTGAGAGATTAGCTCCATGCCAACAAATAGTATTTTTTCATGGCATGCCAATAATTTGTGAAGGGAGGGGAAGCTTCATAAATCTGATACCTTTCATGCAAGTAAGGTTAAGGAACCTAGAATGTGCTCTTGGTTAGCCACCTGTTCTTCCCCTTGCAACTCTTGCAGTAAGATGTGGTGGAAATTGGTCGATGATCTCTTCGCTTACAGTGAAGCACAAAGGCACAGATTAGCCTTTCAACCTCGATTGATTTGGTTGGGATTATATGGAACCTATGATTTTATGTTCTTCCATGGCCCTTTTTTCGATTCGTATGGCATGGAGTGCATTTCTGCCAATCATTTGTACTTGATGGAGATTACTTGATACAGACCAATAGTTTAGTACTTTTTATTTTTCTAGTATTAGATGATTTATGTCTTTTGAGTTTTCTTCCCATTGCTTAGGTAAGTTTGATATGGTATTATGTTCAGGAAATTGACTAATCTAAATACATGGTTGATTGTTGTTGTTGTAGTATCCATCCTACTTTGCACTTTTGGTAACTTCTTGGGAGATTCATTTATAATGATTGAAATTTTATATGCATCTTTTTGTTGTCGTCTTGGATCTCTTTCTCAGTGTAACTTTTGTTAAATTTTTTAAATTGTTTGGTTATTTGTTTATTGAATTTTGAAAAAAGCTGGCTACATGTGTTATTTGCATGCATTTGTATTTTGGCTACAATATGCCACACTTGTGGGTTTATCTTATGTCACCATTGTTTTGTTAGATCTGTTTGTTATTCTAGTAAAAGTTCTTTGATTAATGACAGATTATCTTTTATCTTTAGTTCTGCAGAATGTCTATATCCTGTTGTATGATAAACTTATGTGACTACTTCAGCAAGACATGAACCTGTGTACCTTCACTAATTATATGTGGTACATGTGCAGCCTTTCTTTGGCATGTTTGGTTATGGTGGGCCAATTGCCACTATGCATTTGGGAAGGCATGAACCTTATTTTATTTCAAGTTATGCTTAAAATTAAATGACACAAATTATTCGAGTACATTAAGACAGATTAACTTTTTTGTTTTATGCTGGTATTATCTCTATTGGTTGCAGGCATGCTACTGTGTCATCAAAAACTAAAGGTTCAAGGAAGGTGTATTCTCTATATTTTTCAAGAGAGGCTTTGTTAAACCAGTCAACACCGAAATGTATCTGGCGGGTAAAGTACTTATATATGACCTTTGTGAAATTTATATTTATGATATATTTTATTATAAAAAAATGTGTGCAAAGGGCTAAAGATATTTGCTGTTCTTTCTTTGCTACATTTCAGACTGATGGAGGTGTGAGGGAACCTTTAGATGAGGAAACTCAAACATCACCTCATGGGAGTTTCACCCAGGTTTCATTTTGCAAACTACTACTGTCAGTTACTTCTTTCGATTTTGGTGATACTATTTCTATATAACAACAACAGCAATAACAACAACAAAGCTGTAATTTCTATCTCCTTGGTTATTATTTTAAGTGATGTGCATTGAATAAAATAGAATAGAAGTTTAGCACGATTTCTTTTACTAAATGAAATGACGTTAGTGCTTGACTTTTCAATCAAGGGTGGAATGTTGGCATTGCGAAAGACACATACTTGTATGTGTGATTGTGCGTGTGTGTGTTTCTCTCTCTCTCTATATTTATATATGTATGTTATGTATGTATGTATGTATGTATGTATATTTGTCTACATTATATCCGGTTGAACTTTGGTAAGGAATATGAACTAACATATTGATGTGATGTTATGATCTTTTATTTATTGGTCTGATTCAAACTCAAGTATATAGGGATGGTTGAATGGTTGAAGAAGCTCAAGAATTTGCATATGAATTGTAAGATTTTTAAACTTATACATGTGAATTGTAAGTTAAAATATACATATAATGTGAATTGATTTCTGTTATTTATCACCGAAACATTAATGTATTGCTTGAGGTTGGTTAATTTAAAAAGGAATTCATCTTTTTCCATCTAATTTTTGTCCCATTTGCATTTTGTCCTTTTCTATTTGATATATGCTCTTTGCCCATATGATTTGGTTGGTTTGCTCCCATGGTTCTGCTACCCACCTTCCAGAAAGAGAAGAAGAATTAATGATTGAAAAAACTTTGCGACACCACAAAGTTGTTCTCCAATCAACAATCATTCATCTTATTTATAGGTATTTTCATCTTTTCTGATATGAGGCTGGGTACTGGAGACCTAGACATGCAAAACCAGAAGGGCAAAGTGATTCAAATGTCTATGAAGTTTATTTTAGGCTTAGATTAGTGGATTAAGTGGAGGTAAAGGAAGACCTAAGAAGTTTATGTTAGAAATTTGATATTCTTGGTCTGAACAGTGATATATTGTTATGATAAGAACTATAGAGTTCAGAATCACGTGTGAGATACAATGCAATGGACAACATTATGCATGTTAATAGATCCAGGGCCTATGATGACTAGAATTGAAATTTAACTAGAACATCAGCATCTCATTGATTTATTTACAGAACTGGACTTAATTAAAGATGAGTCAGGAGGTAGATTCACTGAAAAAGTTTGTTTTGGATCTGGTCATTTATAAAAATTGAATCAAGTGATGAAAAGTGCCAGTAGAATTTGTTACTGATTGCAACTATAGATCTTGAGTGTAAGTAAATGATTAAAGAAAATAAAATTTCAGGAAGGGGAAGAAAATAATAGAAGTGGCATTGATGTGGGATAGGGATTCATGAAATGGATGGATGACATAGCCTTAATGTTGACAACAAGTTTCATATAAAGATAGGCTTATGGTACATACATAAGCATCAACATATGAGGAAGGTTGTGGCAAGCAACGACATGCTTGAAGGATCTGAAAATAGGTACTGATTTGAAGATTACCTAGTATGCCATCCTCTCCAACTGCTGTTCGATCCATGGACAGACAACAGACAACTTGGCGAATCGAACATCCAAGAATCTAACTTGAGAGGAATTTAGTGCGTCAACAATGCTAAAAGCCATAAACAGAGCTGTTTTAAGGACAACTGTTCTGAATGTAAGACTGGAAAGAAAAGGGAGAAGGGTAAGGGGGCATCTACTCTGGGGATTACAGGATAGCACCTACAGGTTATGCTCTCTAAACCTCATGTGTTGATGTCTAAATTGCATCACTAAGTGTGAACGAAAAAATAATTTTAAAAAATATTTTTTAAGCTGTACACATTTGGAAGATAATTTTTTCATTGAATTTTAAAAGCATTGCATCTTCGGTATAGTAAAATTATCTGAAACTAGTATTTATAGGCTAGACCGCTAGAGGGTGGTTACATTAAACTAAATAATTAATTCTATGAAGATGTTAATAATTATGATCATCATTGATTTGATCATAAGGTCTGCTGTTATGGTTCAAGAAAAGCAGCTTCCAAGCATTTTCTTCTTAAACGTGGTTACAGTTGAGATTTGCTGCTGATGTGGAGGCATGGTAAAGTGTCACTCTGTACCCTTTTCTTTGGGTGCTTTCTTTTTGTTAGAGCTGCATGAATACGGTTATCTGTCTGTAGGCGGTGGTTGACATTTTTTCCTTGAAAAAACTTGGGTTGTCTCATTCTGTCTGAAATTGAATATGTCCCAGGGTTCTCAATTTCGATGTATACCACCCGGTACGAGCGGTACGTACCGGTCCGAGAGAATACTGGTGCATGGATTGTCCTCTATTGAGTAGTACTAGTGTTTTGACTGGTACCGAGACGTACTAATCGGTACCAAGGCGTATCGACCAGTATCGTGGCATACCGATCGTCACCGAAGCATACCGATCAATACGCCCTGGTGTGGTAGGTAAAGGTATTTTTAAGGTTTTAGGGTGTACCATCGATATGCCCTAGTGTACCGACGATATATACCAGTACGTACCGTACCGAGCAGAGCTCAGTATGTCGATATGGACCAGTATTCAAAACCCTGATATGTTGTCCTATTAGTATCCTTCTCCGAATGAAGGAATTGATGAATAAACATCTCCAGCCGGTTGAGACATCCCAATTTTGTCTCACTTGAAGTCTTGCCATATATGATAATGATACAACTCGTCTCAAATCTTCTTTGAATATTTTCTTTATTAATTAGGACCTGGTTGCTTTGACCTTTTTTCTGATTAAACAATATTTGCAGTAAGTCCATGATAGAAATGATATAAAGGAACGTCTCGTCATATTGGGGGTGTATGTGATATGTGTCAAATAGCATGTTGGTTGGTGCTTTTCAGCTAGCATGATGCTTATAAGTAGAAAAGATGCACTAAAGCTAGACTGAACAGACAAAATTGTTGTCATTTTGTGATGAATTTTGGTGTACAATCTATGTGCTAAATTATGAAAGATTGGATTAGTCTTAGCTCTGAATCCGCAATGGTTTCTTTTGCACCCTCCTGCACACACTGATACACGGGCTGAAGAGAAACCAGATAATCTTGCTGAAGCAAGAGAATGAGAGATTGCAGCAAGTTGACAACGATTATTAATTGGATTAGATAGTTCTGTGTTATACTAGAGAAAACATCAGAAAATAGTTACAGTGATGGGAGGAAATGTTGGATAAGATGTTGACAAACATCCGAGGTAAAAGTGGTAGATGACCATTGGTGAAGATGTGCTGGATCTGTTACCCCAGTTGAATTTAAATTACAAAATTCTTTATCCATGTATATTCTCAATTATTTACTGAGTGGACTCCTTGACTAAAATATGTGTAAGATAAACTGATAAAGTATTTATGTAATCTAAAATTAGACAGGATGAGTCCATTAACAGAAATAATTTATTATGCATATAGGCTGAATCCAAACCTTATTTTGGTCTAATGTTTGGGTGCTCAAACTTCAAGATTTTCAAAGTTATTCAGAGAAAAAAATGGAAATAATCTTTTAAAATATTAAAGAGAAGAAAAGGACTACCCATTCTGACCAATGGCTAATCCTAACTCAACTGTGAGCTTGACATGACCTGGGCCCATCCAAGCTACGGTAATTGCTGGTAGCTTCGTGGCACTGCATATCAGTCTTCTCCACATCTCGAGAGTGATATATCCTGCGTGCACAACATCATCCAATATAATGTATTAGAGGCAAATTCTTTTATTATACCATATGTTGCAAAAGTATAATGTATTAGAGGCAAAAGTATGTTGGGGACTTTGTTTTTGATAGAATGAGAAACACAATGTATTATGCTTGCTAGTATTAGTGTTGCTGTTGCATTATTTTACTGATTGTTGAAATGTATTTCATGATCTTGGTCATGGTAGAAGAGTTTTCTTCCTGGTCTGTCTCTTGTAACCATGGTTTTGTTGTCTTTTGACAGGTGGTGATTAGGGATCTTAAACTAAGGTGCTTGGACATATATAAACTTCAGTGCTTCTTGAAAGATATTTATTTTCCATATATACAGGTCTATCTATTATGTTATTTTTTAAAAATCTTATTTCTCTTATTTGGAAGTTTGTTTCATATTTTTGGGCTTGATTCCCTATATTTCGTCATAGGCAAGTCGCTGATATGCCTAGTTTTCGTTTGTTTGATAGTATTGATCATGATACTTTCACTTGTCAACTGATATCACATTTGGAAATAAAGTGCTCATTGAGTTTAGCATTGATGATTTCCTTTTGGTATTTCATATTTGCTTGTTGGGTTGAACTTGAGGTGGTAAATATGAACTTTTTTGCATGAAAGTTTTTTAATTGCATAGACTTCTGTATGTCATTGAAGCAACTCTTACAATCATTTTGATTTTCTTTGGCCAAATATCTTTTTTTTAATGCCCATCCAATTTGTAATGTGGTGTTTTGCTTTATGACCTAACTCCTATTTTCTAGGATAAAATTGCTATGAGTCTTTGTCTATTGTTGCTACATAAAGCCTGTGTAAATGTTATGGGTATATGGAGTTATGGACTATTACTTTTTGTGAACACGGGCACGTCAAGATTGTTTGTGTTGTCGTTTAGGAATTTTTCCATGTATCTGTGCCAATCCAAAATATGAACTGGACTGATGTTGAAACAGCAAACTTATGTCAAGGGCAGGCATTCAAATGTTACTCAAAAGAAGCATGTAGACTGATTCAAAGTTTTGTTAAGCAATGTAAGCGTTTGAACCACAGGCTTAGTTCCACTTTTGGAGTTACAAGAAGTGAAGAAGGGCTAAAGCACTGGATCAGAACTACTGCTGGATGAGTGGCACACGAAAAGAATAGAGTCAGCCAACTGTGGTTATATTGTAGTGGCTATGCTGTTAGCTGAGTGGTACCACCAGTACCACCACTAGGTGGACATGAGATACTTTCATATACTCGCCAAGCTAATATGAAGAATATATATTTATAAGCTACAGGACCATTTAACTAACAATATAAAGGCATGACAACCATAATGTTAGCACCAATACCTTTTTCATAACTTTAAAGGCATTGATTATTAGGAACGTTAAATGAAATTTGCCCTAACCAGCCTTGCTTTTCATAACGTGTTCATCTCTGAAATATGAGGACTTCCCTATGGAAAGGAATATATTCAAGGTAGTCCAGGTCTTATAGCTTGTTGCTAAAATCCTAAAGAATTGGTCTTCCTCACTATCATGAGCATATCTTTGATTGCAAGTCATGTGACCCCTAGGCAATAACTATTTGCAAGGGTGAGCCAAGGTACAACCTCTTTCATCCCTGAATAGATCTGCAAGAAAAAGAACACTTTAGTTGAAGAAGCAAATGACAAACAGAATACCATCATTGGTCCTCAAAGTGACCATACATTCAAAGAAATTTTTTAGGCAAAAAAATGGGATACTTGCAAGTTCGATTGACATTACACAATTGTTATAGTATAGTAGGTTGGAACCCAATGAACATAATTCACTAGTCACTTGAACCCCTCCAACAAGCAGGTCCACTAAACTAGTTGGTGGCTATAGTGACCTATTATCTTTGTATTGACTAACTTATGAAATGGCATACAGGTGTCAAGCAGTAGCTGACAGTGTAAAAGTAGTTGGCATCTGTGGAAAACAATATGTAGATAGATAGATTTTGCTATCTGAATGATGTGATTGGTTATTATTTAAATAATCAGGAAAGGTTGGTATAGTTTAATTCTTAAGCTTAGTGTTAATAAACATAGTTTTTAACAATGTATCAATTTTTTTTCTTGTTATGGTGCAGTGTGATACAGAGTACACTTCACGAAAAACAGCTATGCCAATTGAGTTCGAGGTTTGACAATTAATTATTTCTATTAAATTTTTACAGTTAGTCTGAAATTGGTGATTATTTTTCCTGCCTTGTAGAAATATGTGAATCTACATGCATCTGGAATTTACTATGGAGCCATCATTAATCTATTAGTTTGTAGGGTCACAATTGACAATATTTTTGACGACCTACTAACTCATATTTTTGTATTCTTTTAAAGTTCAAATGGGGCCCTATGTATTCTTGCTTCTGTATCTTGTATTGGAATTGATCTGACCCAACAAGATTACTGTAATTACTATTTATAGATTAAGGAAGGGTGTAACCTATGAAGATTTCTGAGTAATTATCTATTATGAAAAAAGTTGATAATGTATCATGGAAGGCAATACAATGTTATTGATCTTGAATAATGATGCGTTAATCAAGGCTCAAAATTTTGTATACCGGTATTGTACCTGTTAGGGCCAGATTGGTACATACCAATTTTTTTTTAAAAATAAAAAACTGAAAAAAATAAACTGCCTGGTGCTGTAGAGTTTGTATCACCTTGTACCTTGTGCATTGCTTTGCTTACCTTTGTTTGTGTGTAACATTAATCTGTCAAGCTGGTAAAACCGCATGTATCATAACATACTGGCGGTGCTGGAACCTTGGCATTAATGCTTTCTATGTTTATTTTCCATCCATTAGCTCTCTGACTATTCCTCAGATCTAACTATTTGGGAATTTGAAAGTATTTGGTAATTCTAGGGTTCCACTTGGTTGCTTGTATTTGAATTGCATTAAGTGCAAGTCGTAACCCAAATTAGGTAGACAGTTGCCTTCCTTGGTGGTTGAAGTGTCTGACATTATTGACTAGCAGATACATCCATAATTATTTGGCATGACTTGTAAATGTAGTTATTTGAGGTCATTTAAGACTACATACCATGCAAATCAAGCATATATCAATTCTTCCATATATGCTCTGTTTTTTTGTGTTCCCATGCTGTGTGAAATTTTTGAATGTCTAGTTATGAAGTTTGTAAACTTTAAAGGCATGTCTTTGATATTTATCAGATTACTCATGAAACATTTAAAACTTTTGAAGGCTATTCATACTTTCATTGTATCTGCAACTTTGTTAAGATTCCTGTGTAATTACGGGTGGTAAGGCACATATGGAGTCCAATGACCACATCTTATGCTTGCCATGGACCAATTTCCTGTACCATTGGAATTATTTTAATCTAGGAGATTAGGATTTTATGCCTAATAAGCTTGCATCTGTCACTTGTTGTGACCTCTGTCTTGTTTGGGACTATCTGTTGTGACCCATGAATTGCCAAAATCGAAATATTTTTATCAGTTCTTCATTTCCTCTCCTTCTAGCCATAGTACCTCACCCAACTATTATTCTGCCATTGGCATGTGCAGTGCCTTGGCTAACACGTCTTGGCCAGTATTTTGGTCTGTGGTAGTCAGCACAAGGGTTTGCACATGTGAAGCCAGTATCTTGGTCTGTGTCAGTCAACACAGGGGTTTGCATACCTTCATAGGTTAGTACCAAGCTGTGTTAGTAAGTTATCTATACAAACCCTATGCCTGAAACTGACAAAACTTTCTCGGTTCCTTTTGTTTAAATGCTTGCTTATGCAGCTAGTAAACTTAGTATTTCATCCTTTTTGTAGTTAGTATAGGCTGGTACATACCACTTCAGGATAAACTGCAGTCCTTGAGTACTATATATATACCGGTTGCATCATTTACGCAATTGGATTGTTCAGAAATGGGTTGATGTTGTGATCTAAGGCGTTCTACTGATATTTTGGTCTTTAACTTCTAATAGTTCATTGAAGTTTCCATTTTAGGTGAATGACATTAACCTTGCTGAAATTCAAGGAGGAGAGGTGGCAATTACTAATTTACTCTCTTGTAATGGTCCTGATTTCATCATGCAACTAAGGTTCATGATTAAATCAGAAAATCCAGGTATGTTAGCTGCGATTTTGCTGTTTTATCTTTCTGATGGATGCTATATTTAGATGTTTCCTTTTGTTTTTCTGGTTTGTTATTTGTAGGATCATTAGGTTTTCAAGAAGCCAATGCACAATTGAAGTGTGTTTACTTTCCTATTGTTGAGGTACAGTCTGCTATTTCTTGTTTCGGTTTCAGAATTGTATGTGTGATTTATATATTTTATAGGGGAAAGAGAACATTGAGCGAATTCTTGAGAAGCTTGTTCAAGATGGTTACGAAATTAAAGAAAATTTCGGCGCCTTTTCTCGTGTATCAATACGTAGGCTTGGTCGTCTCCTTCCAGATTCCAGATGGGTAAGATTCTATTCTTATATGCAGTTTTAATGTTTGTAAACATCATCAGAAGTTTTCCATTTGGGAATGATATCTTAAAATGCAAAAGTTTGAAGTCTGGGAGTTTTCAACAAGTTTGGCAGAGGCTCATAAATTTGTTTATGATGTTTTAGTTTATGATACAAAAGTAAATATAGATGAGAGGAGGTTGATTGAATTGTAAAAGAAGTCAATGATATTTTCTTAGATTAGTATCAACTAATTGAGTATAATTCATAGTCATATATTTGAATAATTGATGGGATTCTAATTGTTAACCTCTCTAAATTATTTTTTTGCTGATCATGAAAATTAATGTAACTGCAGAATTGACCTGCAAGCAACATCATGCAGTTTTTTGTTTCTAGCTTTATAGGACACATGCAGATTAAATCTTGAAAAAAATTGGAAAAAATGCTTAAGTTTTTTGCTGCTGTTGTTTCTTCATATATTTGTAGAATAGCATCCTCCTGGTTGGAAAGGGCTGGTGGACAATTGGGAAAACTGGCAAATTGTGGGAGCCATAATTTTGTCCTATTTGTTGATACACTCTTTGTTCAATCTGTTATTATTGGGTTGCTATATTCCTATTTAGGTTAATCAAATGACTTTTAATGATGCTATATTCCTATTTAGGTTAATTAAATGACTTTTAATGATGCTATATTCCTATTTAGGTTAATTTAGTTTAGCGGCTAAACTTTTGCCACTAATTTCAGTGATGCAGATTCGTTTGCTTGTTGGTATCGTGCATCATTATTTATTACATAATGTGAAGACTTGTTATTATGATCTGAAATTGTATTTCATTTGAATTGACTATTGTCAATTTTGAAATTATGATTAAGAAAATTTTGCTTATTGGTCCATTTCTTACCTTACATAGAATACTCTTCCTTTCATGGAAACTAAACAAAGAAGGGGAGATAAAGCTCATTTATTAAAGAGATGCTGCAAAAGGGTGAAATGCTTTGTTGGTAACATGATTTGATTGGTTGAAATTCTCAAATTAACACCTTTTTTCGTTATTCTTATTGTGTGCTTTAAGATGATATTCTTTCTTTCACAATTTTTTACATTATTTTTCTGTTGTTGTAGAGACAGATGCTGGTTTTTCTCCTACTCCTTCTAAGGTAAGCAAATTTGTTTTAAAAAAAATATGATAGGTTTTCATGAGCACTTGCATTAGTTTTTTCTTAAATAATATTGTTGATTCTTGATTCTTTCCAGATTATCTGTATGATTTATCTCATGCGTCTACTATTATTTACTTGTCAAATAAGTGAACAGTATCCTTTCTCCGTAGATGTTCTCTACTCAATTATTTGGAATTTAAACTCATAATTTTTATCAAGAACAGAATATTCTGTTGGTCATATGACTTGTGTGACTGTTGATCCTTATTGTTTTCAGCTTTATTACCATGTAACAATGACTTGATCCAGGAGTGATTCTGTCTTGATCAATTTGGGCGGTTTTGGCCAAACTTAGCCAGACCCAATTGATTCATCAACTTTTATTGTTGAGAATCAAAAACACAAAAAGAATAAGTAGAGGGAGAAGAGAAAAGACGAAATTTTTGTAATGCCTATTCAATACAAAATTTTCGGATAAGATTTTGGCAAAAAAAAGTTTTTTGAGAAGTGTTGTATGCTAACATTTATACAAACACAAAAAAGCACTAGAATGACAAGATCTGCAAAGTTTATATCTTGAATAATTAGTATATATCAGAAATTGTTAAAAGAATTGTATGCAAGGTTTGATAAAAGATGTTGAGTGTTGGCAAGAGAAATGAGGGTTATGTGGTCTTCTTTACAAAGTAGTATCTAGTGGTCACAGTGAACTCTAGTATTGCAAACATAGACAATTGAGGATTATGGTTCACCGATCATGTCGACCAGGCATATTGGTCATGGTCGGACTAGTACCTAGCAGTTAGTATTGGCGTTTTGTGTGTCAGTACATTAGTACATACCCGTAAACTGAAAAAGGGCTGACGATCAGTTGAAATTGACAAAACCTATTTCAGGGTTTTTTGTCCTAGTTTATTGGTATATAAAATAAATATATTACCTAAACATGCATTAATAAGCCTCTAATTAGCCATTAAACATGATGGAATAAACTCGTAAGTCATTGAAGGTCAATACATTGTCAATCTAAGCTAAATTTTCTTCAAAACCTCTAATTATGTCTTAATTAATCATTAGTCACTAATCAATCTAGAGTTATTGATGTTCTTTATGCTAATTACCTGACATGATAAAGAAAACATAAGAGGAAGCTAAATACCGTTACTTGGAGACAAAGTCCACGGGTATTGAGTTCGAATCCCTCTTTTATCCAAATCAAGAGGTTGATTTTCACTAATTACTGATTTGAGAGATTAAATAAGTTTAATGAGTGAGACTGAGAGTAAGAGCGAGTGAAAGGGTGAGATTACATAAGTTTTATAAGCCCAAAACAGCCCCAATGGTTAAATCGGAGTGACATTGGGTACAGTTGAAATCTGAAATCTGATCATTACTGACCTTGCAGTAACTACCAAATTTCAATCATATTGGGCTAAAATGGGTTGGTTTGCATCTCGGCTCACTGAGTAACATCTGATAGCAAACACTAGGAGTGTTGCACACAGAAATTCAAGATTGTGGTCTTCATTGTGAAGTTGTATCTAGTGGTCACAGTAAAATAATTTTTTTTCTTACTATAATGAAAGAAAATCAATCACTGTTAATTTTTTGAGAGAGTTTTCTGGTTCTGCATAATTTTATAATGCTTTATCTTTTACACATTATTTTCTGTTCCATCTTAAGGTCTTTATTCATATTGTTGACAATGATTTTTTTGCAGTGCTTCACAGAGTTTGCCCTCTTTTTCTGCTAACTTATTTTTTTAAACATTTTGAAGACTGATTTGGCACATCATCACCCTTTTACTCGTGCATTGAGGAACTTTGGCAACATTCTTTGTGGAAAAGAATCAGGTCCATTGAACTTATGAGGAATGAATATGGTCACTCTCTATTGATTTGATTACAGTTTTTATTTACTTTGTTCAAGCAATTGCAGCTAAAATTTTGACATATGAAATTGTAGAGGTAACCATTGAGATACTCAAAGATGGAAAACACTCCAGTATTTTACAATTAGAGAAGGAATATCGAGATTGGGTAATTCAGATGCATGATAGATATGATGAAGAAATCAATTGTGGTGAGGATGAACCTGTACATATTATTGGCCCTCAAAACAAGAAACAACTTGGTATAACTGCTGATGGTAAGTTCAGGGCTTAAATCTGCATAGTTTATTTGCCATTTAACTTCTAGATTGGTGGGTCTGGCTCTTGTCAATTATTGTTCTGAATAAATTCAGTGATAGATGATATAAATATTTTCCCATTATTCATAGTTGTGAGAGTGCACCAAGCTATAAAGAGAAGAGGCATAATATGGGAGTCAGGACAAAAGGTTAAAATTTTTAAAGGTGCAACTGGATGTTTGAAAAAGAATTTGTATGCAACTCTAGAATACATTTTAATAGAAGGATTTCAAGGTGATGTGGGGGGTAAGTACTTCATACTGTTAATCCCTGTGCTTTTCTCTCTCCATTTTTCTTTCGAAAATATAGTTTTATATTATAACTCATGTTGTGTAATATTTTCCACAGGTGATGCACGACTAATTTGCAGGTAGTTTCACTTCAATTATATATCGTTTTTATTGTGTCACATTAGTTAACCAAAGTTATTGACAATTGTAAAGGCCACTGGATTGTTCTGATGAAAAAGGCTGCTCGATTTTGGTGGATAATGGAAATGCAAGCTTGGATATGCATGATTCTCTATCTTTTCCAATAAGTCTAATTGATTCTGAAAATGTTTGTACTTTCACCATGGACTTCTTATATTTCTTATGTTGCAGTCATGCAACTGTATGTTGTCTTATTTGTATTGATTTCGAGCTGCTTGTCAGATTCAAGCAATTGACCTTGCGACATGGAATTGCCAAGTTGAGAAGCATAAAGGGAGACTTCCTTCCAGAATCGACATACTAGCTGGTCAACAGTGTAGCCTGTTAGGGATCAGTGGGGTTAGCTGTCTAATTTTTTATATTTCCAACGAGTATTTATAACTTACAAATGACAGTAAATTTTAGATTCTGTTCCACACAAGGATAATTCTAGTAATTCAGACTCTAATTATGTTACATTTCACTTCAGGAACTACCTATGGAAGCTCCTGTGGTTGCTGGTTTTACTCCTCCTAGAGAAATTGTTGCTGTTATTAGACCTGCAAATTTTAGCTCTTCGATGGCCTCCAAAGGCCTAGATCAGAAGAATATCGTGAAGAATGAGTTTGAGATGACCTTGAAAATTAGTCATAAATGTAGAGCTAAGCAGAATGAACAGATGACACTTGCCCATACAAAAAGTGTTAAACCTTCATCACATACTGGCATCAGTGGATTATATATATTTGGGTTGCAAGATATATGTTCGAAACTATTTTATAAAGCCGGAATTTATATATTCACCTTCTTTGTTGTAAGTAATTTCTTAAAATTTACAACTTTGGTATCTTGATTATCCTTTGGTCAAAATTAAGTATGAAAGTGTTGTTATCAGAATTGTAAAAATACCAATATCAAACACCTAGAAGCACGAGTAGTTGTGAAGCCTGACACAAAGGTTTGCAAGTGGCGATTTGTGTTTGATGAATGGGGCCCTTTCACTGATAAGCAACTACTTTCTACTAGGTATGACCTCTTACAAAGGCAGTTGATCAAATTTAAATTGCTTTTTTGATACATGTTGATGCCCTTTGATGTCTAGGTTTTATAATTTAGCAATAGTTGAAAATACACTTATTGGCTTTATTTTTTTTAAATTTTTGTTAAGTATTTGGTGCTTAAGTTTAGAGTTAAGAATTGATAAATAAAAGTTTAATGGTCCTTGGTATACCTTACCCACTCTCTCATCACCTCTGACGTTATTCTTGCATTAAGTCTCCTTTGACCTGGATGACTAATTTGGAAGATAATCATGTAACTTATGTTGTAGTTTTATTTGTTCTAATCCTAGCATCATGGTAAAATATTTCTAGTTATCCCTTTTATTTTGGGCATATTATATTTTTATTTATTCATACAATTTATTTGTTGCTGTATGCTATATCTATAAATTCACTGCAAGATTCACCACCATATAAATATTTTCATATTACTTCCTAATTCTTGATAACATCTATGACTAGGGTTGGTTCCTATATTTCGTATCTTTCTGTTGTGTGTCTTGATCGGTACTCAAATCAAATTCCATTTTCAAGTATACCTGAAGCTACGATAAAAATATTTGTGGAAGAATGTATGCTTCTCCATGTTGACAAAATGAAAATGATCCTTTCATCTGATCAGTTATTGTTGGAATTAAAGGTTAGTAGAAAGCATATGCTATTTTAGCTGTATTTTATTCAGTTTTGTCAGTGCCATATGCGATCTTTACCATTGCACTAATGTTGTAGGATATATTGATTGAAAGCAGCAAGCTGGACATGATTCAGCCAAGTTATGAAGCTGTGTTGGCGATATGTTCGCAAGATGGTCTTTTCTCTGCTGAAATTCCATGTAAAGGTTGTTCTTTTCATTAATTTTATAAAGTCAGTCATGTTTATCTAAAGTTTTAAACATTATATCTAGTTCATGTATATTCACTTGATATTTGAAACAGTCATGCCGGGTACCTTATCTTCCGTGAGGCTGCAAACTTCTCTCCAGGAAGGAGAATATTTGGTTCCAGAAGAAGTGATTGAAGAACTTGTATTAGAGGTAATTGTCCTAAGCTAGATTTTTATGCTAATTAAAAATGCGAGTTTTTCATGTGGTCATATAAAACTGTTTCTGCAATTCCATGAGCTTTTTTGTCTGTATGCAGAATTTAATATGATGAGTCTTTGGTGATTCAACTAATTTGGCAATTGTTTCCTACCATTGGAAACCTCTTTTACCTAAGAGCTCTGTGAGAGTATGATACATGTAAAGAACAATGATAGTCGATGTAAACCAGCTTTTCCAAGCATCTTGATAGCATCCAATCATCTCCAATCACTGATTGCAAACTTTTGTGTATATTAACACAAAGATAGACAACTAGATTGGATGTAGATCAGCTTCTCCGTACATCTGTATGACATCCTTGGAGGACGTGGTTTTTGATAGGGTCTGCATGAAAAAGATCCTTTAGTTACTAATCCTCCCAACTCAATTGCAAAATATTAATTGCACGATCAGTTCAATAATAGGTTCAGCTGAGCTGAAGATTGGGAATGTATTCTTGCGTGGAATGATGGTATTCTCACTAATTGTGTTTCTCATGAGTAGACATCTCCTAAGGTAACACATGTCAGTCAATTATTGAATAGGAAGTTTGTATCTTTTGAATGGTTTTTCCAAAACTTGAAGATGCAGTAAGAGATTATTTCTTGCTTAGTAGTTTGATTCCAATCTAGTCTTAATTTATTTTACTTATGAATTTGAAATTTTTTTGGTTATGTTATCCCTTCAAATTGTGTGGTTAAATAATTAAAATTGTCAGATGTTTGATGCTTATGGTAATCATATTGAAGAAGGCGTGGAAGTGTTCATCCACACTGATGGGTTTTCCTTTCAAGACCACTTAGGTTATATTCGAAAGGTAAAGTTCTGGTGAGTTTTGGTGATCAGATGTTTAGAGAATTTGTTTCATAACATCTTCCTCTTGGTTCTTTTTCATGTTGATTTTGCATTTACTGTTAGAGAAAAAAATCTAGTAAAAGACAAATGATAGATTTCTAGACGATATATATTTTGATTTGTAGGACTTCTTCTATGATGCCTATTTTTTATGATTAATAGTGGATTTAGAAATCATAATCATGGCGGCATAGAGAGATACTCAAGCTTTGATATTTTTTTACTAGTTTAGTATTTGCGATCTAAATTTTAATTAAACTTTTGTCACTGCATCTTCCACATTGCACTTTTTTATATGGAGCTCAGCTTTATCTAAAATTCTCCTATAGCATCAATGTAACTGTTGCTACAATGTAATTATTGCACATTTTTATGAGCATGGTTTCAAATACCAATGATTGCATTCTCATTGATTTTGACTGGTCTTGCTAAGTATAGGATTGGACCTTAAACATATTTTTTGGTTGGTATTATTTTTGTATTATTCCAGTGATAATGGATGGATTTTTTACAAAAAGCAATAGCTGTCCAAGTTATTGAAATAGGTACCTGTTGGTATTTTTTTTAAAATTATTCCTTTAATTAGATTTAAAAACATATAAAAAATGCTCATATTATGGATTCAAACTTAAGATCTACTAAACATACAATGCACAAACCACTAGGATGTCTCGATAGGGACACCTATCTGTATTTAAAATCTTGATAATGAGTGCTTTAAATCATATCATCAACTTTTATAAGAGGTTTTTGATAATTTTCTGAATATGTGCAGGGCAAAATCATTTTGTATCTTTTTATTTATCCTTAATTTTTTTTTCTATTGCTGTCAATGATTGCATGCATTTATCTTGTAGTTATTTCATAATATTAATTAAATCGTCTTCCAACCTGTTTGTTCGCCTCAGAAATAAGAAAAAATAGAATTGGTAAAACAATCCATCCTGTTTGGGTTTATTGGGTCTTAATATAAATTTTGTTGGCCCAAGCCTATATTTGTTGAGGAGAAACTAGTCCAACTCGACGTTGTTGATGTTTATACTGATCGATCATTGAATGGAATTTGTAATTTCTTCATAGCAAGCTTCCTTCATATTAATCTAGAAGTTTTTCTCATATAAAGCCAGGATTAATCAGACTTCAAAGACCTCTCATAAGGTTGAAAATTGATTTGCCATACTACAAAGGAATATGGAAGACCGGATCCCTAAATATGTCCCTCAACTAGAATGAACTTTCTGTTTTCTTTGATCGATATGTTATAAAATATAAGTCCCTGACTCTGGTTTGTAATCTTAATATGTTTTTCATGCAATAGACCCATGGGTTGAGCAAATATTGGTCTGATGCGCATTGCAATTTCTTGAGTAAATTATGTTGATGTTGAACCTTGAATTGGATATCAAGCTTTTCACCGAGGGTTGGGATGCCTCAATTATTTTCTTAATGAAGGGAAGGTTTGATGGGATTAGTTGTAACTTGGGTTTATGGATTTATGCATTTTTGTTTATGCGTTTAGAGTTTCATTTTATTTAAATTTATAATTCACTTTGTTTGGCATTTGAAATGAGCTCACGTGACAATTTCAAGAACGAAATCATGCTGTTGAACAATGAAAGTCATGTGACAATTTTCATCAAGATATGCATTATTATAAGCTTCCAGTAACCTTAGGGATATAGTAATAGGATTTATTTATGTTCTTGGGTTTAGTTTTATCATCAACGTTGGACATGGAAGAAGTGATTATTCTAAATAGCCATCAATCTCCCTGAACCTAAATGCATTATTTCTGTTTTTTTTTTTGTCAGGAAAGATACTTTTTTGAATCATTACTGATGATAGATCTTGTTGGCATTGACTAGTGTTTTCCATTGTATGAGATGCAACATATTTAACACACTATAATATGCAAACTTTCCTTGGCAACTTTCTTAAACATGAAAAAACATGCCCAATGTAACTAGTGCTACATCTATTCATTATGCTGCAAGAGTTTTTTTTTCTTCATTATCTACGATCTCATCGGATAATGATTTGTGAGCCAATTTAGCATATTAACTGAATATGATTATCTCAATATGATTCATCTGTAGGTGAACTGCAAAGGATGTATCGATCTTAGTGGCCTTCTAACTGTGTCAGCTAGTTTTGGTTCATATGGTACTTTCTTTCATCCTTTTTACTGACATATTATTTCTCTCGATTTTTGTCTTGAAGATGTGTTAAGTGTTAATATCCATTGTTGGGCATGACTGAGTATAGACCAATTGCATACCTAATACAATTGGTCCATATTTCTCAGGTAATAAGTGTTATTTTTCCATTGTTGGACATGGCTGAGGCAACAAGAATCTTGGATTATTTGTGCTTTGTAGTTTATGTGTGATCTTAGACCAATACACATAATTGCACCTGCAACTTATTAGCAAGGTTCTATCAAGTATCAACGTTAGGTACTTCACTTTTCTGTAGAAATTACAACAAAAAATCAACATATTTAAGAGTCTCCTTAGCAGCTGCTGATTTATGAACCATAGTGATAAATCTGAATATTATATGATTATATTGTTTGATGTACTAATAGGAATATTCCAATGAATTTTTGAAATTAGATGATGGATTGAATTTATTCAAATTTCTTCGAGGACAGGACAAGTTATATGAAGCAAACATCACAGCTTTAGTAGTTAGACTTCATTAGGCCCTTTTGGAGCATCTAGCCTGGAATGAAGGGTAAGAAAAAAGACAATGTATCAGATATATACTATCATTTTTTTTTAATTAAAGACAATGTATATCTTTTTTTGCTTGATCTTTTCAAACATTAATCCACCACAATGATGATATGTTCTCTTCTAAAATTTGCTACCTTAAGGTCAAGCTTGTGCTTGTGTTTTATAAGAACTTTTAGTTAGGTCTATATTTTATTGCTGGGTGATCTTCCTTTGAATTTCCTCGATTCCTATATTTGCTTCAAATGTTCTATTTGCAAATACATAAGGAGTTTTCTTTGTCCATCACATATGTATTTGTTGGAATAATTGCAGAATAGTTTATATTATTGGACTTTCTGTTTCCTTCAGTTCTCTTTTTCTTGCTAACTTTGTGCAATACAGTCCACCTTTCAGTTTCGTATGATAAGGAGATTGTTTATAAGAAGAAGTTCCAAGTTGCACAAAGGGAGTTGAGAGCTGTGTCTGGGGTATGCAGTATGTGTTTTTGATTTCTTTCCCAAATAAATGTTTCCATGGCATATTAAGAGTTTTTTGCCTGTGAATATTTTCTTAAATGTTATCCTTGCAGGTCTCCGGCATTCATCCGATAGGTTGTCAATTGGAGAATGTTATATTTGAAGTTTTTGATCCTGATGGACAAGTAGATGAAAAAATACATGGTCAATATCACACACTTAGAATAGTATCAGATTCATTGAAATTGGATGATACAATTCAGTACACTTTCCATCATGGCCGGTGCACTGTGCCTTTTGTCCCAGTTCCCCGCAGACCAGGGCCTTTTTGCTTTTCGGCTTTTCATACACGTTACCATGATCTTTGCACTGATATTGAGGTTTTGACCTGTTCGAACCCATCCTTGTATATTCTTTCACATCTGACCTGCTTACATTAATTCTTATCTTGCAGGTCAATGTTTTGGAGGCTTCAAAGTTGGAGCTATTTGCTGCAACAGAATCATATGGAACATTTCAATCTCAGGTTTTAGATCATATGGACTCATCAAAGTGTCTCTCTCATCAGAAGGACCTCCTAGTGAAGTACATTTCTCATCATACTCAGGTAATTAATTCATCACCAAATTGCTCATTGTAATTATGATTTTTTGTCAATTTTTGTTGCTGCTTCGGGGCTGTCACTGATAAGGTATATAGTGTGATATTTTATGTGCCATTCCATGAATAAGCGTAGCTGCTTGTTCATATCTTTTGTACGAACATAGTAACATGTATGCTGTGGATTACCCCATGTGCCAGTTCAGTGTGTATGCCCAATGCTTTCATCCATGGTTCATTTTGTTTAGCCAGGTTGATGAATTAAGCTTTGGGGATCATGATTTATAGAGCTCAGTTAAAGTGAAAGGGTAATGATTTACAAAGCTTAGTTGTAGCGAACACGTGTTTGGCTGATAAGTAGAGAACGTTTATATGAAATGAAACCCAGATTTATATCAGATTTTGGTGAAAATTACATTCCAACTATGTCCAGAACTCCAGATATTTTATTTTCATATGTTTCTAAGGACCTATTTGATAAATTCAAGAATTTTTTGGAAATTAATAAAAAAATCTGAATCAGATCTAGAACTCACTTTGGAATTTTACATAATGATATGATCTTCCTAGACTAAGGATATAAGTTTTTCTACTCATGGTTTCCCTATTTTTTGCAATGAATATAGTTAGTGCCTATCACTTATAGATTAAGTAATTCACTGACCTGATTATGCCATATCTGGTTGCAAGTTGGCTAGGCATGCATACCTTCAAATCAATGAGTCCTCAAATCAATGAGTCCTCATGATAAATTTATTTCACATAAATGACAATTACAATGTAAATGATCAATGGAAAGTTTACAGATTACCTTTGTGCAGTTTACAGATAATCTTTAATGCCTATTTAGATTTATAACAATATAACAACTCATTAGAACCTCTGCCATCTTCCTCAGCCATCTTTATCCCTCCTGCATTTTGCAACGCAGCATCCATTTTGTGCTGGTGAAGCATCTTCCTTGTTCGAGGCATGAAAAAAATGATCCCTGCAGTCTTTGATGAAACTTATATTTTGCATTGCAGTTATAGACACAGCAGTTTGTATTTTGGTAGATGATGCTGAATGAATGTTTGTGCTTGGGGCTTGTTGATTGTGGATCAAACACGGTGGTAAATTGGAAATATGTTGGCGTGAGCTTTTGTGCCATGCTGAAGACTGCAGATGTTGGGCCTCCTTAAATTCTGCATTAGTGGTAGCCTCATGTGTGGGCTGACATTTATGGGTCTATGGGATTTAGTCCTGATGGAAGACTTAAGCTTTTAGATGACATAAGACTGGAGCATAGAACATAACAGGGTAGAAAAATAAATTGGTGGAAAAAACAAACAATGACACGCGGAAGAACTGAGTGAGGAAACAACTATAAAACAATCAAAATCAGTTTTTGAAAAGATAGGGAAAATTTTTCATAGAGCCATGAACAATCAAAATTATGGTATCTCATTTAATGATTGTTGTATCATGGCAGAGTAGCATGTTGTTTGCAACACCTCTGTGTTTTGTTGAATGCCCTTAAAATTTGGCCTAACAGCCACTAGCCATATGTCAGCGCTTTTGGCATGATTTAGCATGCCAGTGTGCCTTTCTGGCCCAATATACTGGCCCATGCATCATGTAGAACATGGATTAGTATTAGATGCATTTTAGAATTATCATCTTCCTTTCTCTTCTCATTGTACTCCATTGTACTCCACTGTATAAATTTTTTGCTTCAGTCTCCCATACTGGATAGATAAGCTAGTAAATGTGCTTTCCACAGATTCTTGATGAAAAAATTACTGAAGTTGGATTGAAGATTGGAGAGCATGAGAGGAAACTAAAGACACTGAATGATCAGAAGATACAGGTTGAGCAAGATATTCATGATCTGCGAGGTTCTGAAATTGTTTTATTACTCCTTTAATTTGAAGTTAAATTCGTCTTATATAGACATCTTGGATTTTTTTTTTGTCTTTTGAATGAATTACCTTTTTATTTTGGTTTTGATGCATTGCAAGTAGGCTTGAGCATTTTGTAATGAGAAATGTCTATGGTATTAGTGTCATGCCTTGTGTAAACCTCACAAGTTTTTATGACTGTGTCATAGTAATTAATAAACTGTCTTTCTTGGGCCTATATAACTGCCATCTCGTTTGCTAAATATGATCCACTGCACTATTTTACTATGTCAGGACTTTTAAGATCTAGGGCACAAGTGCCTCCCATGTTCTCATCATAAGGACACAAGATCTCTTTTTTACTCATTCATCGAAGATATATAGTGTATGTTGACTGCTTTCAGTAGTTGAATAAATTATTCAACAACAATGCATTAATGAGGTTAAAACTTATATATCATTATCATTATTGTGTGAATTTTCCAGGAATTTATTGGACATGATTAAGTTCTGCATCATGTCTGAGACTGATCTGAGTCATTTAAGACAAGTTAGTGCTTACATGACTGCTCAATGACCCTTAAATTCATACAAGAATTTCAAAGAGAGTGTGGTAAATTCAAAGTCATTTAATTATGGTAAAGAAACAGTACAAAAAGTGAACAAACAAAACAAAACTATAAAAATGTTGAAGTAATTGAGCAGGATGTTTATTTTTTGCTTATGCTGTATCTGGAGATGTTAGCTCTCATGAGTAGAACCATGACCAAGTGGTTTCCAAATCCACTAGTAGAATGTTTATTTTTCCTGGCATTGAGGAGTTGAAGAGGAGCACGTGCTTATATAAGTTATACATGATATCATTAGTTGATGCTAAAGTGCTTATCTGTACATTATGCTTAAGTATCTATATATCATAGCTACTTAAAGCATGACTTTTTTCTATTTTGGATTTGAACTTCTCAAAGCATGTATTGGCTTGAGAGTCCATATGTATGGAACACACGAAGAATGATTGAAAGCATACTTCCTTGTCTGTCTTCTATCCCTGTTCATCATACATATTAGACTTATTAGTTATTCCATATTTTAAGTATGAATTGCATTTATTAGCCTAGCCGTAATCTGTTCATTCCTTGTTTTTGATGGTTGGGCTTACTTGTACCACAGGATATGTAATTGTACTAAATGTTGCTGATTAACCCCAAACAACTATATATATGTATATATATATATATATTATATATATATATATATGTGTGTGTGTGTGCGTGCGCACGTGCGTGTCTGTGTGTGTGTGTATAGTTGGCTTTAAGGTTAATCATATAGTAAAGGGAGTTTGATTCTAAATTTTGGTAAAATTCCAGTGTTCATTGGACCTCAATATTTGAGCCAAATTGAGTCTTTGAGTTCTTCAAGAGAGGAAATCCTTAAACGAATAGGACGAAAAGGTGATACTGCCGCTGCTATTTGCTGCTGTCTTTCTAAAGCTATCCAGAAGCAAGAACCTTGGAAGTGCTTTACAAACTGTACGCAAGATGTTGTTGGCCTTGTTGCTCTTCTTGGAAATGTTAATACTAGCAAAAATAGCAGGTAGGTTTTTATCAACAAACTTTAAGGTTCTCTAATTCAAGACAGTTATATCTTTTCCTGAGAAACTAAATCATCATTGTCTATATTTGCAGGATGTTTTCACAGTTTTTGGGTGAAGATAATATGCTTGCAATTGTTTGCAAATCTTATGAAGCTGCAAGTAGAATGGAGTATTATGATGAGGCTGGAAAAATTGATCACCAGCAAGCTGTTCATGGAGCTGCAGCTACACTCGGCATTAACATAAGTAGGAGATTTCCTGTAATATGCCTCGAAGACATAAGGTGCAGATTCCTTTGTCTAAATTTATTCTCAAATGTGCTTAGGCGAGAATATTAAAGGCTTAAAAAGAACACATTTTTTGAATAATATAATCATGCCCTGAAGCCAGAATTTGCCAAATGAGGTCCACGAACACATTTTTAAAGCTTAAAAGGTTCCAATAAAAATATTTTTTCAAATATGATAAACTAAGGGTTAGAAACTAAATCTACTATCACCAAATGTCTAACAATTTAAATAATAATTTTCTTATATATGTCAACAAACCACAATGCTAAAGGACTATTAGTACTCGTTTTCAAAATCGGCTTTTTATACTCCTGGTTCTCGGTATCCTATTGTTGAACCTTTTCTGATGAAATTATAAAAGTTTTCAACTGTGTTAGTGGATTACTGAAAAAGATGATAGTTATTTACCTTTATGCTGCACAAAACTAATTTTGAAGTCTTATTACAATAAAGTTGGTTTAAATGGATTTGAATGATTAGTATGATACTTAGCAGTGTTATACTACTAATATGAATCAAATATTTGTAGTGAGGCTTTGGACCAAAATGATATAATTGATCTGCAAGCAAATCAAAATTTCTTAATATTTGTGAATGCTAATTAAAGATTCTTAATTTCTTCACTGTTCAAAGTTGGTGACCTTATTTTATGGTTTGTGCAGTAGGTCATGAAAAAATTAATGTTGATTCAAATTTCAATCACATAGAAACCAGAATTTTTCTTAAATCATATTCGTCTGCAATTACAAACTCCTCACTCTCAGGCTTTGTATATCCATGCACATGAAGAACACTTATAATTGGAAATAAAAAAAATTCTGAAATTAAAACTTTCCTCTGATGTATTAGATAAAGGGGAGATTTCTGATGTATTTAGCTCCTTCTCACACATATCTCTGTTCCCTGTCCATAGAAGTCATGTTTGCATCAAGGTACTATCAGTAAAGTGGCTTACTTTTCCTTTCACAAATGTCTGAAATGTAGATCTATGCCTCATCATTTTGGGCCTTAGATAGACTGGTGTACCGTCCATACTGATAAACAATGATTTTTAAGTTGTTTTTAATATTTTTTGGTGGTGTACCATGTTGTATTGAACCTGTCCATATTAGTTACCTTTTAGGATTCTGGAAATCACTGGTACCAGTATTTGGTTCCTTGATATTGACTATGCTCTTGCAAGAGTACCAGTATTTGGTTCCTTGATATTGACTATGCTCTTGCAAGAGTTCACATACTGATTATATTGGATTAAATGCTGCAGACCATACCAAGGTCGAATCATGCCTAATGATCCTCAGAGGAGACTATGTTTGTCAAATCCATTGTTGCAATCTGGGGCAGTTCCTGCTGGATTTTTAGGGTATGCAGTGAACATGATCAACTTAGATATTCATCACTGCAAGACAAAAACACTTTCAGGTCATGGCCTTCGGGAAACCTTGTTCTATCTGCTGTTTGGTGAAACTCAAGTATATCAGACTAGGGCGGACATGAGACAAGCTAGGTCCTGTATTAAGCAAGGAGCTATTTCTCTGGATGGTGGGATTGTGAGGGCCAGCGGATTTATTTTACTTGGAGACTGGTGAGTGCATTTCTTTCAAGTGTGCTGTATTTCTCCCTCTGTTGCATGTTGGCACTCTGTTTGATATTTTCACTTTTTGTTAATTTCTAATCTGATAACTTTATTTTTTATCACAAGAATGTTTATATATCTAGAAACTTAGATAGCCACCTAATGGGGTCATTTGACTGTTGGTTATATGCTAATCTCAAGCAACAATTTGTTTTGATAGCATTACTGTGTCTTTTTTTTTTTTCGGTTTGGACAAGTTTTCTGCAAACTATTATTCGCAATACCTAGCATTGCATCCAAAGATCAAACTTTTGTGGTTTATTGCTGCGCTTGTTCAGTACCTCATGTTTGCCTTGAAATTATGGATAACCCGTGCAATGGATTTGTGTGGTCACACATTGCTTAAGCAGATTCAAAACAATGTTTTTTTTTTGTTCGGCTGTGAATTGTATCTCCTGCACACTAATATTTGTAATACTTATCAAATCAATGATAGTCCACGTTGTTTTGTTGTGAATTGTGAATTCTGCCACCTGTCACCACTTGTCGCCACCTACCACCTCGTGCCCACCATGAATTGATCTCAAGTATTCCAGGTTGCTTGTGGAGGGATGTGGTTGAAGTTTAATCATGTTGTATTTGTCTTTCTTATATCCTCCTGTTCTTATGAAAGCATCATCTATTTCATGTTCTGAAGGATCAAAATCTATAACAAGAGATGGCCTCTTGTTCAAAGAGCTGATGAAACCCCTAATGCCAGCAAAGGTTGGCCACAACATACTGGTCATGAGCACACATGACACTAGCCATACTTATACTAGGAGTCGAGCCTAGATCATGGCCATCACTGCCTCCACTGATGATCTTATATAATCGAAGGTCGATTGAATTGAAATGGACCAGCACCACTGGCACTGGAAGAGCCATAATTGTACTAAGATGGATCATATCAATATCCGTCTCAAGCCCTTCTTGTGCATACGATAGTGTTTGACATGGTGCATGAATGTCAACCACAAGCTTGTGGTCATTACTTCACATCACTCCCTTGGCTCCCGAATATATTATAAGTAAGTTGCTCGATTATCTATCTACCCAAGTCATTTACCAGTCTTAGGACTTTACTGGCATCCAAGGTTTTGTGCATTTAGCCAGTGTCTCGAAATCCACAAACCAAATGCTACTCCAGCTTGGTTATTTTTCCGTTGTTATCAGTGTAGCTGCAGTGGATGCACTACCAAGAAAAGTGGCCGACATGTTGCTATGAAGGATTAGTACTTTACTGTTCAATATTATTTTTCTACATGTATTTCAGATATCTAATTTAAATATGTACACTTAAAAAATGACTTATATCTATGTTAATCTGCATGGATCAAAGACATTTTCTCAGATTTGGCATAGAACTGCTGGATTCACACAGATTTTAGCTAAGATCTACAAGAATCTAGGTTAGGTTCTTCTGAATGAAGGCTAAGATCTACTCAAATCTTCTCTTGACTTGTGTAATTTAGCATGAGACCTATGTGGATCTAGACTAAATTGGTGCGGATGTGGAGATGTACAAAAATCTAGGCTAGGTTCGTGTAGATCTAGCTTATTGATTCTATAGTCCGAATCCATGTGGATCTGTGCTTTTGTGGACCGGATCCGAACAATTTTCAAATTTTCAGGTGATTCTTTATTCGGTACTTTTGCAGGTTTCCTGCTTCTATTCCTATGTATCGATCTGCATAATATACTTGATTTTATTCTGTACAACTGTTCCGAAATATGTTGACCGATATAGATCAAAGTGTTACATTATATACTTGATAACTGCTGTATTATTTTACAAAATTGCAACAATTTCTTGATTGCCTTAGTGGCAAACAACTTTTATAGATCTTTATCTCTTTTTTTTCTTTAGTGAACCAGATGTAACGTTTCCTGTCATTGGAACGCAAGCACATAGAGCATTTTCACAGGATATGGTAATGAATATAAAGCAAATGGAGGAGAAGAAGGGTCTTCTGACAGCAATCCAACAAGAAATAGTAAAAGAATATGAAGCCTACACAGAGGACATGGCCAAGTTTAAAAAAAGAAGTGATAGGTTACGTGAGTTATTGACAGAAAGTTCTTCAACAACAAATTTACTGGAGTGGAAATGACCGCCCATCGTGTAGTTCATCTGGTACAATGTTATCTCTGAGAATCTTTTTTGTGTTTTGTTTGACCATAATTAAATTTTGGTACAAAGGTCAGGCATAGTTCATGGTGTATGTAGTTCATCTGGTACAATACTATCTGTGTGAATCTTTTTGGTGTTTTGTTTGACTATAATTAAATTTTGGTACATAGGTCAGTTGCATCTTGATAGGTTAGCATGTTGTTGATTGTACCGTACAGGAGTGAGGACCAGAAACAGGCAACTTTGACAGACATTATCAAATATTTTCTAAATGACCTAGAATTTTTCAGTGATATTCATATATCTGGAAGTAGCATTACTTTTGGTCAGCTGGAGCATACATGTTGATTCTAGATTAAACTGACTGCATTAAGTTTTTTTATTATTATATGTATCAAAATATTCCAAATGCTGCAAGGAATGATTGGAAACTAATGCTTATTATGAACAATTTGGTACTTTTAATTAGAATATTTTTATTGTTTTTGTTACCTTGACTGACATGAGTAAAACATTACAGGAGGCAGAGAAACAGATCGATTATTTTCAGAAAGCAGTAATTATTCTATAGTCTACTTCCCTTTTGTTTTTCTTGAAATATACAGAGTTTCAACTGACGAGTTTTTTAAACTCAATCAAGTCTTCGAGGTAACTCAGATGACCCCTGAATTGAGTTTTTGAGTATTGTTGTTAAATTCAGCAGTTGAGATTTTTTTCTTTACTTGAGAATAAGGTATGCATCCAAGCTTGTACTTCATTGCTGTTAAATTCACCTTTGTTGATAATTTTTTCTATAATCCTAAGGTGAATTCATTTATCCTTATCATCCCTAGAATTTGATTTACGTGACTGCTGTATGTTCATATAGTTAATTCACTTTTCAGTAAGTGCATGAGTTTTGGTACTTCCAAGCTCATTGATCTCATATGCATCGAAAGGGTAGCTGTAGTAGTTTAAGAGAATCATTGTTGCTCTTCTGATCTATAAGCTTAAAGCCACAAAAAGCATTTGTTCTGCTTAGCATATTTTTAATGAAGCCCTTGATCTTAAAGCTACAAAACTGTAATAACTGAATGTAGCATATTTTTGTGTAGGCTTATTTGGTGCAAAGAAAGCAGAAAAATAACTACAATCTGTTTAATGATGCTTGCCCACATATTAAGCAATCACAAGGACACACAGTTGTCCAACCATATTTGTTTGCATCTCACCATCTCATGTTCCTGAATCGCTTGAATGCTAGTTCTTGAACTCTTTTTGCTTCATGTTCTCTATGATGTTGCCGTTTACCGGTAACATCGAACTCGGCATATAAACCTTGTGGCAGCTTTAGTGTGCAGAAATTTGTGTTGTCATGGAACAGAACAGATTGGCATCTGAACACACCCATCTTCTGTTGTGCAGTACGACTCTTGTCATCGAGATAGGCGTATACTTGCAACGCCGTGACCAGGTGGTGCCGATCTACCACTGCACCGTATTTTGCTCACCGCCGACATCTCTGATAACGAAGACTAACCTGTCCACCCGAAAAAGCGAACACCTAAGCCGGGACACAAACGCGGAAGGTCGTTCGAGAGTCGGTGTCTTGCGCAGTCCCTTTATACACGATAATAATAATAATCTCAGTTTATATTAGCAAATAAAAAAGAATTATCTATATTCTTCTTTGTTAAACTGACTCAGTGTAAATGGCAAGACTGTTCTTTTAAGTGAAAACGAATATAAATAAAGCGAAAATTGACACTGTGTTGACGTGAAATGCAGGCCAATGGCTTGACAAGTCTATTCATCCCACATTTGCGTTTCCTTTTTCTTTTTATTCTTGTGGAAAATTTGTAATTACTTTTGATTTATATTTAACGACCGGCGATCGATGCATCTGCAAGCAACGCCCCCAAAAGGAAAGAAGGGAAAAGCACTTACGTTGTGGTTTACGCAGCTCCACTTCCCCAGACGACGAGAGAGAGAGGGGAAAGGGCTTCTCCTTGCGTTGTTTGACCGATGGAATCGGAGAACATCGAGTGCGTCTCGGTGTCGGATGGGATGGTGGAAGAGGAGGAGGTCGCCCATGTTCCCCACCCCTTCTTGAAGCCTCGCGGCAACGGAAGCGGGACCGTCAGCGGCGGCGGCGTAGGAGGAGGGGGCGTTCCAGCGCCGGTGATCAGCCCTGTGGCTAGGGTGCATGAGTTACTGGAGTGCCCCGTCTGCACCAACTCGATGTACCCTCCGATCCATCAGGTTAGGTTTGCCCCTTTTGGAAATTGTTGTCGGATTTATTCGGAATTTAAGTGATTATTGGTGTTAAGTTGTGATTGTTGGCTTCGATTGGTTCTTCTTTTTCTTTTTCTTGTTTTGCTTCGGCTTGTCTGACTGAATCTCCAACGGAATTAAAGAGTTAGTTGGCGTAATGTTGCATTTAATTTCATTCTTGATGGTTAATGTGCGATCTTGCTTGTGCCTAATTTTTATCTTGTTCAAATTGTCGACGCAAAAGTGTTAAATACAGTTCACAAACATCCTGTCTTTCCTTTTATTCGATTACTATTCTTCATGAATTCCTTCATTTGTTTTTATTTGTTCCCCTCAATCATCGAGAAAAATGATACGAAATTAGGGCCATTTCAGTTTTCTTTTTCTTTTCTTTTGTTACATGTAATTGTAGTATTCCATATTAGTTTCTGCTTAAGACCCATCTTGTCAGCTGGATCTTATGTGATTGCTGGTGCTGATAATGATATGGCTTATTATTTTATTGGAGTCGTGGATAATGATCTAAATCATATTCGCATTATTGTATCCCTGTTTAGTCGAAGGTAAACCTGGAATTCCATTGTTTACAGATTATATGCTTTTCAAGCCAAATGGCCTTCTGAGCTTATGACAGACCTTCACTTTGTGAGAGAGAATCCTTCTTAGCTAGGCAGTGAACAACAATATAAAGGACTATGCTATGTTACGAGTTGGCAAATCTTACTCAAAACTCCAGTTCATGATGCCTTTTCCTTTACCTTACCTTGATTTGGCAGATGGGTTATTGGTTCAAGGCATTTTGAAGTCATTTTAGATTCTTGATTTGTTTTATTAGTTAACCTTTCTTCGGAACATGCTCGGTACTTATCAGTCCATGCCCCTGCTGTACATGTTTGGTAATTTTTGTAGAGTAGTTGAACTTTCGATGAAGAGAAATACTTCCTTTTTCATTTGTTCACCTCATCCGATCAATGTTTGGTCTGCCACTGGGGTATCTACAATTAGTAGAGATCCTTTCTTATTCCTAACTAATAACTGACACATTGTATTGAGCTAATAAAGTTGGTTAATAAAGGGGTCTCGGTCACCAATATGATATGTTAATTTTTATTTTTATTTTTATTTTTTTCAACCTCAAACTAAGGAAGATAAGGTGCCTGTAGTGTTTACAGTGTCCATCTAGTATGTGATTATGGTCCTTGTAACCCTTTGGCTTTCCTTTTTTCTATGATCACATAATCAGAGATTAACGTGCATTAGCTTGCATTGGGCTGGGGTTTAAATAATCAGATTTCACTATTTCCAATCTAGAAAGAGCCTATGATGGACAGTTACTTGAACCCACCCTTCTAAGTTGATTGTTTTTGCCCCATATAATTCCATATTATATATTGTTTTGAACTCCAAAGTCCTAATTGGATGAATATAGACTTTTGACCACAAATGAATTTTGGTCAAGCATGTGAGAGAAATGGTGGGCCTCATGGAAGGCGAATTCATTTTGGAAACAAACACATACATTGGCCATCCTCTGAATGGAGACTGGTTGACCTTCCATCAGGCCCACCATGACAAAACAATATGAACTATTTGGTTGTTTAATCAATAATATTTTCTGTTCTTCTCAAGGGTCAAAGAGGTTAATCAAATGCTCTAAGTTGTGGGTGTGTGGTTCCATTGTGTTGTGCTTCTGTGATTTTTTTCACATTTTTCCCATTTTTCTTCATAATCCAATTTTGATCTGGATCATCTCCAGTTCAATCTTTGGTGAGATTGATTGTATAGGGCCTGTCCTTTCACCATATATTTTGCCAATATCTCTGTCCTTTGCTGTTGGCCAGCTGTGAAACCTTATGTCATTTATTGACTGTGTGCGTCCTTTTTAGACTTTCAAATGGCTTGAAATTTCCTCCGTTAATATCCAAAATGCATGATCTTTTTTGTTCTCAAATATGATGGAGGTTGATTATGATGCTTAAAAAGATGTCAATTATCAATAGAGACTTCTACTCAGGATGTTTATTATCTTCTGTCAAATTTTAATTTTTTACTAGGTCACACTATAATTCATATGTCATAATTATTTTTCCCAACAGAGGCTTCTACTCAGGATGTTTATTATATCTGCTTTCAAATTTTAATTTTATATTAGATCACACTATAATTCATCTTTATTACCATGACTTACACTGATCAGAATATTTGCAGTGCCACAATGGACACACTCTGTGTTCAACTTGTAAGTCCAGGGTGCATAATCGTTGCCCTACGTGTAGGCAAGAACTTGGGGATATCAGATGTTTGGCATTGGAGAAAGTGGCTGAGTCACTTGAGCTTCCTTGCCGATATTTGTCATTGGGATGCCCTGAAATTTTTCCATATTACAGCAAGCTCAAGCATGAAGCTCAATGCAATTTTAGGCCATACAACTGCCCCTATGCAGGTTCTGAATGCTCTGTTGTCGGCGATATTCCTTTCCTAGTTGCCCATTTAAGAGATGATCACAAGGTAGATATGCACATTGGTTCCACATTCAACCATAGATATGTAAAGTCAAATCCCAGAGAGGTTGAAAATGCTACCTGGATGTTGACTGTAAGTAAAACACTCCCAAGTTGACTGATCCTGATATTCACTTCTAAAAGTATTTTGTGTATGTGATGTACTCTGCAAGAAAACTATGATGCAAGAAAATACTATTAAGATTATACAAGAGTATACTTTTGGTTTTGTTGTATACCCATTTGTTCTAATTTGGTGTTATATCATTTGTCTTTCATCCATGTTTCTACTATTTTCTTAATTCGGATCTCTCTCTTCTCTCCTCTGCAGGTGTTTCACTGTTTCGGGCAGTATTTCTGTTTGCACTTTGAGGCCTTTCAGCTGGGGATGGCTCCAGTGTACATGGCTTTCCTTCGTTTTATGGGCGATGAGAACGAAGCAAGGTACTATAGCTACAGCCTTGAAGTTGGTTCAAATGGCAGGAAATTAATATGGGAAGGTATCCCTCGGAGCATTCGTGATAGCCACCGAAAAGTCCGGGACAGCCATGATGGTCTCATAATCCAGAGAAACATGGCACTCTTCTTCTCTGGCGGAGATAGGAAGGAGCTGAAACTGCGGGTCACTGGTCGCATATGGAAGGAGCAGCAGAACCTTGATGCCGGAGTGTCTACCCCTAATCCCTGTAGCTGATGGTTAGCAAAAAAAAAAAAAAAGAGCACATGCTGCTGTTCGTGTTTGTACCGACTGAGTGTGTTTGCCACGATGTTGTTGTCCTCAGTTATTGCCATCCGCTGTATTTCCACCATTCGATTAAGTTGATGATAGGGAGAGGAAAATGTAAGAATAGCTGCGCATCCTTACATCATGTTATTATGAGAAATCAGGCATTTCTTTCATTCTATTTAATTAATGATGTGGATCTCAGCTCTATATTTTGATATATTGGGTGCTTTAAATGCAGTGACGAACCTCCCAGCGAGTAGTGGAACAGCTGCATGTTACTGGTATGTTTTCTTACATTAAACTCGAGGTTGCATATTTATTTGCATCTATGGGATCATCTTTCTTGAGGAAAATAATCCAATCGATGTGCATCACTGTATCACATGATTGATAAGCTTTTACCTCTTCCGCTGCAGTTTGAAAGATTGTGTTCCACTAACCTCTACACGCCGAGGAAGACATCGCACTCCTCACATCCGATGGGTGAGAAGTTTCGCTTGAATACTAGTGCGTTCTTTGCGTCTCGACTATGCTTTTGAGCGAATCATGTAGAAAGAGGACTCGCTTCCAATTATATTGGGAGCATCAAAAGGATGGTGTTCTTTTGACTGGACAAGTTATCTCTCTTCCTGGCTAGAAGATGTGTGGCTCGTGCACGATAGCCTCGTGGAACTGAACTGGTTCCTTGCTGTGACTGCCCATCCGTGTTCTCTGGCTATGTGAACAAGCAGGCCTATCGTACGACTGTCTTCCGCCCTCGATTTCCCTTATCGTCTTTGCTCTTTCGGTTAATGCGGTGGTAAGTACACGACCGGTACCCTTATGCCGCTGCACTCCCGTTTCCCCGCTCGACGTATGTTTCCCGTATCGGTCCAACAGCAAAAGCGCGATTCCCGTAGGCCCCCGAGCCGCCTGCCAAAAAGCCTCCCACAAACAGACAACCGCCAGCTGTCACCTTCTCAGTACTTACTTCCATGCCCACCATTGCCCACATATTAACGAGCCTACCCCCGGGATGGTTTTGAAAAGACGGTAATGCCCTTTACGTCAGCTGTTTTGCCAGGATTTGCACCGTCCGATGCGTTGGACGCCGTCAAGGACTGACCGTCGATCTTGGAGCCTTCTGATCTCTGATCAAGGGACTCCCATGGCTCGCTTCTACTCCTTTTGTAGATCAAATACAGTTGGTGATCAAGGAAGGAAGGAGGAGGAGGAGGCAGAAGAGAAAGGGAAGGGAAAAGAAAGAAAAGAGAGCGCTAACAGCATGTCGTGCTTTTCGCCAATTCTTGTTTAATACTTACTACTCATGGTATTGTTTCCTTTCGGTTGATTTGCTTTTCTTCGAGACAATTTAGCAACAACTTTCTTTGCTTCTACAGGGGGAAGGAGAAAGAAGAGCCTTCCTTCTAAGGTCCTTTTTGATGAAGCCAGGAGGCTACAGCGGAGATCGTCGAGAAACAACAAGCTACATACATATACTGCAAGCAAAAGCTAAAGAAGCGATATTATTATTCCTCAGTTCAAGCAAACAGCCATATCAATTCTCGACCCATAATCGACTTACATGAAGAGTCTTTTTTTGCCCATCAATCGCAAACCGTCATTTAAGCAAACACGCTACGGACACGAGAGTTCGGACTAAGGTAGTGCACGCACCGGGAGTCAATCGGACTCGTCCGTCAATTCGCGGTTGTAGAACTCGGTCCAGCCCCCATCGACATCGACATCGCCATCGAAATAGCCATCGAGATCCTCCTCGTCGTCGAAATCCTCGTCCTCCTCCTCCTCCTCCTCCTTCTCCTCCTCCTCCTCGCTCGGGATGACCTCCCGGCGTCGGGCGTAGCCGCGCGAGGGCGCGTCAACGGGCGGCAGGAGGCGCATGATCGGGCGGTAGAAGTCGAGGGACGAACCGAGGCGCCGGGAGAAGGCCGAGGAGGCGGCCCGGGCAAGGATCGGCGGCCGGGCGGACGCCGCTGCCGCGAGCCTCCGCAGGGCGGTGGAGGCGATCGCCGCCGCTCGTTGCATGCTTGCTCTACCTATCCGCGAGACGAGGGGTGGAATGGAGGCTGCTAGGGTTTTTCGGTGGAAGCTTCTCGTTAGGGTTTACGAGCCGGCTTTATAGAAGCTGGGGCGTCTGACTAAACCGATAACGCGGACTCGTCCCACGTCACCAGTGCGGTACAACAAAATTACTGTTGGTGAGGAAACCAGCACAAATTCTCAGCTGCAGGCTAATTTTCCGCACCTTAAATTAGAATGCTCTGCAATTAGATTTTTCATAAAGAGAAAGTTTGAAGAGAACTCAACAACTACATTCGATCATGATGTATTTAGTTGACGAACAGCACTCGAAATGTACAAGTATTATTCAAGTAACAAAACAGAAAATATTAGGAATGCAAACGATCGTAGTTCTCGATAGGGTTTTCCGGTGCAAGAAACAGGCACTGACAGTGTGAGGGATCTCATTGTATATGACTGCAAAGTGAGAAGCAACATCATGGATAACACTATTCATGACTTGCAAGGATCAATTCCGAGACAAATAGTTAACCATACGTATATACATTCGACAGGAAGATAAATGTACTTTTAACTAAAATTTCACTGTCGGAGAAACTGTGTGTAATCCGTGTGTAAATTTATTTGGAAAGAAGCTTCAAAAGATGTGAACAAGGTGGGTTCCATGGGAAAGCCCCTAGAGAATGTACACCTTTGCAATTGGTCCAGTCCCTCTAGCATCCATCCTCCAAGAAGGCTTTCTCAGCCCAGAATTATCTACAGACCCTAAATCCAAAGATGCCAAGGCTTACAAGTCACCAAGCTTATGTCTAAAGAAACTAAACTTTCTAGGAAAAAATTGTCTCATCAAGCTAACGAAAATGGAGTTTAGCTCGAGCCTCATTGCAATGACAAAGCAGCGGCTGCTCCGGCTTTAACTTTCTGATTAAGAAATTCATCACAATCAGCTCCTTTAACAGAGAACTCCATCAAAAGTTCCTCAAAGAGCTGCTTTAGCGAGGATCTGAAACTAATTGACAGTCTCTCGTCACTTCTGTCAACATCCTGCGCCTGCTCCCAGATGACGGACCCAACCGGAGCACCTGACATGTAAGCTCTACATGCCGCAAGAATGGTGTGCCCTTTGTTGCAGAAATGTCCAGCAACAAATTCTGCAAAATGCTGCAAAATAGGGGGGAAAAAAAAGAAGTTTATATTTAAGAAGGGTGGAAGGAGATACAAGACATGAATATGATACAATATGGACAAGCTGGCCGAACAGAAGCAGGAATGACATGGCATAGAAACAGCAGCCACTACATATATTACTATTACTCACATTATAGACAATCCATGATGTCTCATATATGAAAATTGTAAGAAGTAAAACAACTATATATATGGATTATTAAACATTCACAAAAGTACTTCAATTACATTTGCAATATAGATTAAAAGAGTAAGCCAAAATCCCAAATCACATGGATGATGCCAAATTGACCTTTAAAGTATTGTGAAGATTGATACAAGCATCCTACATGTGTATCAAATAATATGCTCTGAGCCAACAGACAAGTGCCCAGAGGCATCCAATGAGTGTCAATGTCTAACAGGAACGTGATGTGGACATGATAAGCATTTTGAAAGGTCAATGCTTAAAGGGTGGTAATGGTTCAAGAAATTTTCTGTGATCATTAAGATACTAAGACATAAGAAGCAAAAGTACATGCGAAAGAGCTTAAACACTATGCATAGGCATTGGTGATTCAGATGATCAACATGTGCTTACTTTTGGAGGTCCTCGTAACGAGTACAGCATTGTCCTGCAAGATAGCAGGAAAATTTCCTCATTGTAGGCCAAGGATTTCACATGGCCCTCAGCCGTGTTTGCTGTCAACTCAAATCCAGGCTCATTGAAGAAGGGCTTTTCATTTAGAATAAGAGCTTGAATGGAGACCAAGACCTGCAGCATAGTTGATTCTGATGGATTCCACCTTTCACAACCTTTCCCATACCAAGTGTTGAGAAGGCTAAGGCAGACCTTTCCATCTTTATACAAGTTTGGATTAAGGCAAAGTCCATGAGAGTGGTAATGAAGTACCTGAAAGATTTGAGGAAAAACCACTGTTATGTACTAATATTTAAGAACATCACAAAAAGGAATTGAGATAACTCAGATGCTGATATACCGGAGGTTCCTGTGGAAATTTCGGAGGAAACTGAGCATCAAAGAAGAATAGGCCATCATGGTATGGAGTTCCAGCCGGTCCTACTATAACAGCTCTAAGTAGATCCATTCTGTCCTCATATACTCGTACAAGTATAGTATCTAGGGAGAGCAAATGGAAATAGCTCAGATAAGATCATCAGAAAGTGTTGTCACATAAAATTCTCATAGTAACTAGAGGACACAACCAAAGTGTTGAATGAAGAGTTTGGATATTGCAAAGAGCATAGGATGTCAAAGTTTACAAATCACAACGCACACCAGTGCATTCATGGAAAAATGAGATATTAAGCACATTGTCAAATTCAGGATAGCTTGCATACAGATGTACTCTATGCCAAGGTTCGTTGTACCATGGCATACCGCTTGGTACGGATGGTACATACTGGTCTAGCAAGGGACCGGCATGGACAGTACATACCGGTTTGTTCATATGCCCCACTGTGCCATATATTGGTACGTTGGTACGTACCGTACCAATGGCCGATCAGTACACCAGTATGGACCGGTAAGACGAACCATACTCTCTGCTACAAGCTAAAATAAAAGCTGGATGCCAAAAATAATAGAAGAACTGTCAATGGAAAAGTCAAATTCAACCTTCAGGAAACAGCTTTCATCTGATGATCAACAATACAAGGTAAAAGATAGAAGACTAAGATTATTAACGAAAGCTAACATGTGAGTTAAGACTATTCCTCGTTGCCTATTCAAGGAAAATATAAGAGAAGCAGTCGTCAGCCTTTCTGACCAGGTTTTCAG